GACCTTAACGAAGTATAGCTCCCGAGGGTAGGCGAGGTCCGCGCCGCTAAGGCAGAGCGCCATGCGGAGTACCTTATAGCCTAGCATTAATCTATCTCGGACCTTATTAAGAAAGTATAGGTCTCCTACGAATAGTACTATAATAACGGGCGTGCCTAACGGAGGTTTAAAGTAGACGAATATATCCTGCTATCGATAAAGAATATCCGATAGAATAGGCCGTCGAAAAAGCTTAGCGATAAGTTTATCGGCCTGTATAAGGTTACTAAGATTATCGGCACGTATAGCCTAGCCTACTAATTAGACCTCCTCAAGGGTATAAGGATTTATAATATCTTCCCGGTTTTCCTGCTAGAACTATAGAGGTCCTGCGATAGGTTATAGCCGGAGCCACCCGAGGTCGACGTTGAACCGGACTCGGATAAGTACGAGGTTAAAAGCTATCTTTACCCACCGATATTAGGGTAAGCGACGTTAATACCTTATTAAATAGGCAGGGTATAGCGATAAGGAGAATACTTAGGAGCTAAAACGGAATGTCCCCGATAAACTCGTTAACGCCTACTTTAAAGCGAGGCTAATAGGGGACTATATAGGTTCCTATAATATTTCTACAAGAACTAAACGGGTTCGTATACTATTCCCCTAATAGATATAACGTAAGGACGTTTTTCCCTCCTTACGGATAATAAGACTTACTAGGAATTAACTAGGTTTATACACTATCCCCGTATCGGCTATATTAACCTAAAAACCCCTTTAGTGGGTCGTGGAGATAAATTCTTAGGCAGGGACCCCCCCTTAATCCAGATAAGGACTATATAGGCACTATCACCTCTCCTCTTATTTTCTTCTGTTTAAGCGTTCTGGCCTTAACCTCCTGCTTTCTTCCTTTAGAGCGTTCTACTTTTAACCTCTATTCTCCCTTTTTTAAGCGTTCTGCTTCCGACCTCTATTCCTTTTCGGGCATAACGCCCTTAACCCCGTTCTTATTCCTTTAGCATAATAACTTATCGCCCTTAAAGTCTATTTTCCTCTACGATTCCCTTAATTAACCGTTATAATAGAGACACGATTATATTATAATAGAAGCATAGTTAGGACTATTAGGGTTACGATAGGAATACCCTAAAGCTAGTTAGAAGAAAAAAAAAAAAGGAAAAACCTAACCCGAAGGCTAGTAAAAAACCTAAAAAGAAAATTACCGTTTCCTCTATATATACCTATTACGCCCCCGAAAGGACGTCCTTAAACCCTACTAACTCGTTATCTAGAGGTGTAGGCTCGCGCCCGACCCCCTCGCTATTATCCTCTATATATACCTAGCTCTACCCCGCGGTAGTAGCTATCACCCCCTCTTACCTACTACCCGCGGATAGCGTTAAAGGCCGAAAAGACAGAGGCGTTTTCGCCTTCTACTTCTTCTTCTTCTTCCCTGATAAAGGAGTTAGGGGCGTTAGAGCCTTCTTTCCCTTACCCTTCTTCACTAACGAGGTCGGTACTATATCGTTATTATCGGGCACGTTATAAGGATCCGGGGGACTCTAAGAACCTTACGGCATAAAGCCTTAAGGTTACGTAGGACTACTATTACTAAATATATCGTTACCTATAAAGATAACCCCCGCGGGGGCTAAGGTAGACCCTAAGGGTATAGGTATATTACCTTCTATAGCCTAAGCCTAGGCTAGGTTAAGGGTAGCTATCTACTCGAAAGTAGTAGCCGTACGTTCCTAGGCTATAAGGTCGCGCTAGTATAATGCTAGGCGTTACTACTCGATATCGAGCCGCTACTACTTAACGGTAAGCCGCTGCTATTATAACCCGATAAATTACTTAAGGAGCGACTCTATACTATTAAGCCTCTTATAGATATCTTCCGCCGTTTTCTAGCAGGCGTCGGTAACCTCCTTAGCCTAACGCCGAGTAGCTATAGCTTCCTTGGTAGACGACCGGTTAACCTTTAGCGTCGCTTAACCTAAAGCCTCTCTAAGGATAACCTAGTATCGAACTGCTATAGCCTAATACTATAAAAGGATTAGTAAGGGTACTATATATAGTTAATAACAGGACGTAGCTAATACTTACGCGACGACTCTCGTTTGGCCACCTTTTTCGATAGCGATAACTAAAACCTTCTATAGCTACTCGGTAGCGTTCTTACCGGTAATAGGAAGCTATTATACGTGTTAGACTAATAGGACCACGGAGTAATCCACGAAAGGAGGGGCTATAAGGATTAAGTGGTGATAAAGATATATAACTTACTACGCGGCATTTTAGGCTATTATGCTTAGAGTAGTAGTAATATTTATTAGTACGCCGACCGTTATCGGTATATCGGTAAGTCACGGCCTTAATAGTATACGTCTTCTCTTTAAAGTTAATCGTTACTAACTTACCCGTATAACGTATATAGGGGGCCCTTAGATCCCCGCCTATACCGATATCCACTACCTTTTAGCGGGGAGCGACCGATAGTATAGTAGTCGACGTTAAAGGCGTAGCCGTAGTAGGAGTAGAAGGCTCTAGCATAGCAGGCTATAGGGCTAATTACCTAGCGGACTATAAGATTAACGCCGTAACTATAATCTTAATCCTTTTAGAGGATCGTGTTATACTCGTAGGAGTAGCGGCGCGTTTATTATTATAATCTTCCTAAGAAGGTATAGTAACTATACTATATCTCGTAGTTAGCCAGTATCCTAGACTAAAGACGTGGGAGTACTTATAAGATAGTAGTTAATTAATTAATTAATTAAGTAAAACTATAAACCTATAATCGAGAAATTAAGTATAGAAGAGGAAGAAAAGGAATAGGAAGAGGGAGTAATAGTAGGTTACGAGATATCCCATATAGCGGTTATATAGCACCTATTTTAGGATAAAGAAGGAAGCTACGAGTTCGCGGAAGGAGTAACGTTAGACCCTATGTGATACTAGCTTAGGAGTCTTTATAGACGGATTAAAGGGATAACCCAGGAGGATAAAGGGGCAGGTCTAAAAGGCTCTTAGGAGGGAACCACCCTAAAGCCTATCACGGTCTAGGCTAGGATATTAGCTTTAGTAGTTTAGTCGATAAAATACACCCTAGTCGGGGCCATAGCCGAGGAAGGCTCTAGTTCGGGGCATCGGGGAATTTAGAGAGGGACTCGGAGGCTAGGTTTTCGGAGGAGCCAAAAGGCCGGCACGGACCGGGCGCTCCTAAGGACAGGAGTATCCGGGGGAGGTCGCTATATCAGGTGCCTATAGCAGTGGTCATAATAGGTCCCTAAGTGTGAACCTATAGGGGTCTAGGTATGTCCCGTCTAAGACCCCTCAAGGCATAAACAAAGCAAGTTATCACACAGTAAACACAATAGTCCCTCGAAGCAAATAAGGCAGCCCTCAAGGAAGCAAATAAGGTAGCCCTCGAGGAAGCAAACAAGCAGTCCTTAAGGAGTAAAGCGTAGCCTTGAGGAGCGAGGGAGCCTCCCCTTTAAAGGGGAGACTAGCGATTAATCTGACTCTTTAGCTATACCCCGTTCTGACCCTATTATAATCCCATCGTGATCACACCTGGTTCCTTACTTGACCCTACCTTTTCACTCTTTGCGACTACCCATTTAATATTAGCCGTGGCCTCTAAGGTATCTTTACCCTCCTCGCTTCCGGTATATAGTATAGGGAATACTATAGCGCGGTGGCTACCGCGTTTTCCTTAGTCCTTAAGTCTAGTATTAATATATTTCTAACTAAGGGTATAAAGGTCTTCGAGTATAACTACTTAGTTATCTATAAGGCGTCCCTTGGCCTTAGTCTAATTATGGCCGGTATAGGGACGTATACCTCTATAGAAGTCTATAACCTATATATACGTGGCGGGCTTCGAACCGGTATCTTTATAGCTTTATAGTAGTAGCTACTACTTATCTAACTACTCCCCGAGCGTCTTAAGGCTATTCGCAGGATAACGAGTATACTCGATATACTCTTCGTGGGTATCGGTTTAGCGGGTGGCTAGGTACTAATCCGTATCGCGTTTAACGGTGTCGTATACCTCGCGAGGCGTGCCTCCTTATAGTAATTATCTACGGCTTTAGTCGATAGTATTAACCTGCTAGGTTAGTATAGCGTTAATCCCCTTTAGGTAGCTATCGTATTACGCTTATAAGATCTTCCAGCACGCGATTTTAACGTCGTACGCCTTTTAGCCGGCCTCTATAAGGTTAAGATATTATATAGGGGTACGCCTAGGCGTTATTAAGGGGAAGGAGTCGTAATTCGGCATTATAGGCTCTTTAGATGACTAAGTCGGATCGACTAAGCGGAGAAACCTCTACACGTTATTATAGGTAGTAACCGATTCGTATAGGCGTCGCCAGAGCTCCTAATCCTTATAGGTTTTATACGTAATATGGCTAAGATACGATATCTTAATAGTTATTTATAGATTAACACGCTATATCGGCGCGGCTAGATAGCTTCTTAAATCGATAGTAGTGAAGGTAAAAGGGTAAGTAAAAATAGGTATATCTTCACTTAGCAAGTAAGACTCTTAATTATTAGATAAAGCGTAGTCAAAATCGTTATAAAATAGGTCAAGATTAATTAAGGTAATTATATACAATTATAACTGTGTCAGACCGTCAGGGAAACGCTACCGCCGTATTTTATATAGTGCAGATTCTGCAAGCGTCCACCCGGATTATACTCTTAGCAATCCGGCCTATTACGTAACCGAAAAGACTATGGTCTGTTCGACATATCGTAGGTTTCTACGTCTTATAGCCATCATTCTCCATTCACTAGTAGAACATTAGGATAGAATCGTGCTCGTGGGGTGAATCGTGGGGACAAGAAGGAGGTTCATATCTTAAGTGGGGGATACGTCGTGGGGTACGGAGAAGTCGGACTTATATGGGGGCCTCCCCTTCCGTTCCAGACGGGACCGAACAGATGATGTTAGCGTCCAATCATACAAAGAATAGAAGGGCTTGGCTGTCCCAGTTTGGTCATAGGTGGGCGAGGTCGCGGGGTTATGTGGGGAGCACTCCACTGAACGTGGGGTAGAGGATGCCACGTCGGTCAGATCTGTTTGCCTCGCTTTGCTTTCTCCCGAACTATTTACAATGTGTATAGGCATCCCGCCGTTTCATCCTCGAGGTCCGATTGTCCCAAAACCTTCCATCGAGATAACACAAAATTCACTCTCTCCTCCAAACCCGACATTACAGAAGGGACTACATGGTACTCCACGCCCTCCCGTTCCAACAAGGCGCGAAACGTTCGAAACGTCTCTGTCCATTCCTCCATATCGAGCGGCATCAATCTCACCCCATCATCCAACAGCCAATCTGCACTGGGCTCGCACAGGATCACCAGCGAAGTCGCCATTCGACCCCGCAGCGACTTCCAGGCATCCGACTCCAGCATTTTCCCGGCGGCCCACGCCCCGACGTGCATCAGCGCGTAGACAATGGGGTCGACCCCGGAACGGTCCGACACCAGCCACGGTGCCTCTCGTAGAGCTGAGGTTTCTGACTCGTGCTGGGCACATAGGATGAGCTCCTGCAGTCCAAGGCACCGCTCAGGGTCATCCCTGATGTCGGCTGCCGTGAAGTGGTATTTTTGGAGAACACATCTTGCTACCTCTTTGATGATACGTGGTTGCGGTAGCGTCGTGTTGGTCTCATTTTGCAGCCTCGGATCCTTTTCTACTGCGTTGACGAGCGTCGTCTTGCCAGTGCACTGCGGGCCGACGATGTAAATATTCGGCACTTGCTTGGCCATTTGACTCAAATGAGAAGTGGAGTAACGATTTCCGTTCGTCGTGGTAACAAAAAACCCAAGAACGGAGGCGAATGAGTTTTGGGTGGTCGTGGTAGTTGAGGGATACTTTGGCAGTAGGACAAGCCCGGTTAGGAGACAAACGGCCAGGGGCAGAATATCTACTCAATTACAGATGAAGTGACAAGGGCAGAATTTCAAGACACCAGACCAATCCATTAATATGAAAGGATGGAACCTCTGTTTCCATGTTTAGGCGCTGTCAGCGGACTTCATATACCTACCTGTACCTCACCTTTACCCCGACTTGATAAGGTAACACATGATGCCCCCCTTTGTTGTGTAACTCGAGCTACACGCGCCCATTTGTTGGATGTCAGTGCCTGCCTGCTTGGGTACTTGGATGTCACTGGTCAGTCTCCTCTTGTACCTTTCTTGTGGTCGGCCTCCCGCATGAGATGATGAGCTTATCGCAGGCCCAGTCGACTGTCGGTCGAACTTTCCCAGCTTTCCCCTCCTGATCATATGAATAAAATCACCTTATTTTCGGGGCAATGAAATTCCGACTGGATCCCAAGTGGCGGACTCATCCCTAACTGCCACCACTCAACTCCTCCCCTTGCCCTCCTGTATTTCTCATGATAACCTTCACTCAGCACAAGTTCTAGGTACATAACTGACCAAAGACATCGGCAAGTTACAACTACTACAGCCAAATGCGTCCCAAACTTCAAGGACCATGAATCCCAAAGCATTCAACGCAGTCCTAAAAGATACGATCACTCTGGATGACCGTGTCTGGGACTTCCAACTTCCAAACCTCCCATCTCACTCCGTCCTCGACAAGAACAACCTCGTCAAGACAATCGTCTTCACCACCAATGCCGACAAAAGAAGGCAGGAGATCCGCCTCCGCTTGGAGCCTCTGGGCACGAACCGCGCAGTAACGGGCGAACCTCCTAGCCGGTTCCTCGTCGTCTCCGCCCTCGAATTCCGTCCGCTCCATGTTCCCGCCTCAGTACGCGGAGGCGGAGCGACATCGTCTGGCAAGGAAGTCAAGGGTACCCACCCGGCCACGGCGAGAGAATGCACCGAATACCTCATTCGTCTCCTCCGTGCCGGCGTTCGCGTGCAGGGGACTCATTACAACTTCTATGGTCACAGCAACAGCCAGCTCAAGTCTCGGACGTGCTTCCTCTTCGCCGCCTCCCGGGACGAGATTGCCGCCAAGGTCGCCGCCCTGGGTGACTTTACCGGTATGAAGACCGCGGCGAAGATGGCAAAGCGGATCGGTTTGCTCTTTTCCTCTTCTCGTACCGTGTTGACTATAGATCCGGCCCGTTGTGAGGATATCCCCGATGTCGAAGTTGATGGGTATACCTTTACGGATGGCTGTGGGCTGATCGCGCCGCGGCTGGCCCAAGACTTGGCGAGGAGAACCCGCGTTGTCTTCAGAAACACTCGCTACACGCCGTCGGTCTTCCAAATTCGATATAGGGGGTATAAGGGGGTTGTGACTGTGGACCCGAGAATGAAGCCCCCCGGTCCAGTGCTTAGGCTTCGCAAGTCGATGAAGAAGTTCAGCGGCGGCAACGACTATTCCTTTGCTGTTGTCGAGCATTCCAAAGTAATTCGAATCGAACCCCCAAGGCTCAAGCATCCAATGTTCTAACCATCTTCCCTCCAATTAGCCCTTCGTCTTCGGCTATCTCAACGACGAAGTTGTCATCCTGCTGCAATTCCTTGGAATAGAACAGTCCGTCTTCCTTCGCAAGCAGCAAGAGCACTTTGAATTCCTTTCTGCCGCTCAGGTCGACCCAAGATCTGCTTTTCGCTTCCTGTCTTACCTCAACAGGCCTGACCTAGCCGAGAAAGTGCTCATGACCTCACTTGAAGATGTTCGCCCGGTCATCACCAAGCTTGTCAACTCCGAATACGACAAGATGCTCAACAAGAGAGACGAGCAGAAATGCCACATACTGGTCCCACAGTCTCGGCTGTTATTCGGCGTATGCGACGCCTGGGATGTCCTGAAAGAAGGCGAGTGTGCCGTGAAGGTCACTAGAGACGGGGACGGACAGCCGTATGCTCTGAGTGGCATGGAAATTCTGGTGACGAGGAATCCCTGTTTGCACCCGGGCGACTTGCAAAAGTTCAAGGTTGTCCAGCGGGATGAACTTTCCCACCTTGTGGATTGTATCGTCTTTTCCACCCGCGGGAAGAGACCTGCTGCGGACTTGATGTCCGGTGGGGATCTGGACGGAGACACCTGTAAGCCCTTGAAGCCCCCATCCGCCTATTGCTGTGTTTTTTCACGCTGACAAAGGCTATGAGTCTTTGTATGCTGGGACACGGACTTGATCCCGCGAACCATCTCTCAACCAGCCGAGTACCCTGGAGGCCGAGAACCGCTAAATTTCAAACCCATCACAGATGATGATAGGCTTGTGTACTTTGCCAAACATACCAACGCTTCTCTCGGACGGGTGAAGAGCCTCTATCTTGACTGGGCAAGGGTTCTTGGACCCATGAGCCCGCAGTGCCAGGAGTTGAATCGACTCTTCTCCCAATGCGTCGACGGCAACCGGATCAGAGTGCCACAGAAGCTGGAGAATGCGCCGTCACCAACGCCAGAGACGCCCCCCTTCATCTTAGACGTCCTTCACGACGCAGCCAGACAGGCCATCGAAGATGAGGGGATGGTCAATCTGGAAGGATACACCTTTGATGCCCTCGAGCTGCTGTTAAGCCGCGACAATATGGCAGTCTCGGAGTTTGAGTTATTCAAACTGACGTTGGAATGGTGCAGACGAAACGCCTACTCACCAGAGGAATTCGTCCACCTCTTCGACTTCAATGTTCTCACTGCGGAGGAGAAGGCTTGGGTCTTGACTCAACTGCCGTCCTCTTCGACCGCGCCGAGTCTAGTCATGAATGCCCTGTCCAGCTCTGACCTACTCAGTAGGGAGGAAATTGACCGGTTTCATCTCGGCTCACCCGGGATACGGTGGAAGGCATTCTACAGCTCCTCCCGAGACCGTCTCGCCACATTTCTTGAAGCAGGCAGTAAGGCCCTGGCACTCTTTCACAAGACGTTGCTCGTGATTCGAGTTGACGATCGCTTAACGGTCGCGATCTACGTCCCGCAGAAAATCGAGACATCGCAGGACTGCCTCGTCGACGACCGGGTGCGTCTCATCGCCGTCCCTCATTCGCAAGGTGGAGAGAGGCAGAGCCGGCTTGTCCTCCCGACGAAGAAACGATACCGCCTGTACTGCGATGGAGGTACCTTCCAGCTCTTCGAGAATCAACGTGGTAATACGTGGATCTTCATCGGTCGATCTCCTTCTGACGACAGCGGTTACCGTGGAATCGAGAACAAGGGAGACAGGCGCCGACAGCGACAGGCCACTCTTGATCAGGGTCACAATTTCGACTTCCGAGTGAGCATCGCGTTGGACAAGTTCAGCCGAGGCTTGCAAACCCACGTTGGCCGCGTGAACCGAAATGGCGTCTCTGCAGCGGTGAGTTGCCCCCTATCCCGGACCGCACCCGACGCCGCACCGAACCCTGTGCTCTGGTTTGCAAAGCCCACTGATCACATCTTAATCCAGGAGATTTACGTGATAAGTAATCGAGATGTGAAGTCGATGCGCACGCTAGAATTGTGGCTTCAGCACATCGACACCGAGGAGAAACACGAGCTTTTCCAACAGACGCCAAAAGACTACTCCACGTCCACCCTGCGGGACGTGGACTGGTCCTCGGAGCCCAAACACATCGCTCAAGTCGCCAAGTTCGAAATCATAACAACTTTGACCACACTTGAGACAATAACGGCGTACCGCGAGGTCTTCGACTGGCTCTTAGAGAGGGATCAGAAGGCTCTGCTGATCCGGTGTTACGACTTCCTGTTGTCGGAATTGAGACGTGGCGGCCTCAGTCAAATCGAACCCAGGGAACTGTTGTGGGCAATGCTATGGTTTCTGAGGCGAGCCCCATTTCTTGCGCTCTGTTTCTCCAAGCTCGAAGACTGGAACCGACTACCCGAAGACATGACCGCCGTCCTAGAAATGTCTGGCGCTGAAATCCTCCGAGCCTTCGTGTTGGCGGTGGAAGTGAACCAAGGTCTTGTCGTGACTCCGTTCCGAACGGTCTTGTCCCAACGAAAATCTCTGAGCCTTGACGATTTTGCCGATGTGGTAGAACTGATTTCCTTGACGGTACAATCACCAGACGTCGCTCTCGATCTCCTGTTGGAGTGCTTGGAAACCGAAAGCCTCCGACTTCTCCCCGGGCGGCCAGCAGTCGTCCGTCATTTCGTTCGCAGCGTGATTGGCATCGCGCTCGATCACATCGGAGAGGTCCGAGAGCAAGGGAAGACGCGCAAAGACTTGCTCGAACTGCATCCATGTCACGACGGCACCACTCGCTACCCGTTGGTTGAGGTCTCCTTTCGGATAGATGCCCCCGGAGGGACCCCCGAGACGTCGGCACATGTTCGTTTCTTCGCGGCCAGCGCCCCAACAAATTCCACCAGCGGGAGGCGGTATACCATGGACGCCATTGTCCGTGAGAGCCAACAGGGCCTCGCCAAGTTTGAGTGTTTCCATCCACTCCCCCCATTCTATTCGCTTTGCTCATGGAAGATGCGGCATTGCGGCCCATTCGTGACCACGGCAACTATGTTTGATGCCGTGCGAAAATTCGCCACGGATTCCGACGACTGCTGCCACATTGTAAGCGACGTGCTGGGAATTCGAGGCTCGGGGCCCTTGGCAGCGTCAAAGGAAGGCGATGGGGAGGCATTCCCACAACTCAACAGAAGCCAGGCCGCTGCCGTGCATGCCTCCTTGCGACATCCGCTGACATTGATTTGGGGTCCACCAGGGACTGGAAAGACGCAGACCATCGTGCAAATCATCCAGTCGCTCCAGGGAGTGAACACAGAGGCGCGGATATTGGTCACCGCACCGACACACAATGCAGTGGACAATGTCATGCGCAGGTATCTACGCCAAGCCCAGCCTGGAGGAAAGGGGCCCCTGAGGGTGTCTACAGAGGTGAGTGGTTTCGACGCGGTTCTCCTTGGGCAATACCTTAGTTAGCTGACAAGCAGCCCACCTAGGTCAGGAAGGTAGCACCAGACCTCAGAAAGTACACCTGTGACGCCATGGCAGGGCAGGAGATATACAACGACCACGCCGCCATGAGACAAGCAAAGAAAAGGGTCAAAGAATGCCCGTTGATCTTCACGACTTGCATAGGCGCCGGGTTAGGCCTGCTCCGCGGGCTGAGCTTTGACGCCGTCATCATAGACGAGGCGTCTCAACAGACCGAGCCAGCGTCTCTGGTGCCTCTGACCAAGGGATGTCGCAAGGCAATTTTGGTCGGAGATCATGTCCAGTTACGACCCACTGTACAGCAGCATGCGGCCTCGGTGGGGTTCGACGTGTCTCTCTTCGAGAGGCTTTATCGCCATGAAGGGCGGGGCGGGCCTGCCAAGGTGATGCTTGACACACAATACCGAATGCATCCGAGTATTTGCGGTTTCATATCGGAGCAGTTCTACGAGAGCAAGCTGCGTACGGGCATTTCCGAGCGGGATCGGGTCCCGGTCCACTCGGTATTCCCTTGGCCAACAGGAAAAGGCGGAGGTCGGGAGCAGATGGTCTTCCTCGAGTGCGGTGCGAGGGAGGAACTCGGTCAGAAGTCCAAGCTGAACAAGGCGCAAGGAGAAATGTGTCTTCGGGTCTGTCAGATGCTCCAGGCGAGTGACGATGCGACGAGTCAAGAGAAAGCAGCGGGGACGCAATTCATTGCCGTTCTCACACCGTATTCCCGCCAAGCCGAGTTTACGAAGCAGTTGTTGTCCGGTCTAACCGGCGACATTGAGGTTTCCAGCATCGACGGGTTTCAGGGCCGGGAGGCGGACATCGTGGTGTTTATGACGGTGCGATGCAACGAGAACCAAGAGATTGGATTCCTGACTGATATGAGGCGCATGAATGTTGCCCTCACGCGCTGTCGCTCTGGGCTGATCGTCATTGGGAATCGGGCGACGCTGGCTGGGGGAGAGGCAGAGCTGGAGAGCACGGTGATGTGGCGGCGGCTTTTGAACCACGTGGTAGAAACGCGCCTGTCAACGAGAGAAGAGAATTAGAAGTCTCAACTGTAACTACCTGGATCAAACAGTCAGCCATTGAAAAGCGGTATCAGTGGCAGTCATTGAAAAGGGGTATCAGTGGAGTGATGGTGGCATGGGATGGGCGACTGTGTAGGAATTGGGGATCTGAAAAAGTGCCCGACCGTATCGCTCTTCTCAGTACGGAGGTCTGCGTTCAGCATCCCCGCGTGTTCACGTGACTTCATGTTTCTCGGGGGGGGGGGCGGGGTACGAGGAGCGTCGTATCATGTGCCCCTCAACGCGGGCCCTCTTCGTCTTCTCGGAACCCATCCGTCTTTGAAACGAAGAGGTACACAATCATTCCGATCTGTTTTTACTGTCCCTCGCTCTCCATCGCCTCCTCCTTTCAAAGCGTTACCATGTCCACCATCTCCGTTGCTAGTCTCCAACACATCACGGCCAACAAACTCTCGCAGTTGCTCCTCGCCGAGCAGGCCGCAGCCACCGAGCAGGCCGCAGCCACCGAGCAGGCCGCAGCCATCGAGCAGGTCGCAGCCACCGATCCCACCGTTTCTGTAGTCGATGTCCGCGACGATGGTGCGTTTCCCTTCCTGCCGATCTGGCCGGGCGTCATTTTACTCTTTCACTCCTTTGGGCAATGCCAAACTGCTGACATCAACTCTTTCGCAGACTACATCGGCGGCCATATCAAGGGCTGCATCAACGTTCCCTCGCGTTCGCTCGACGCCATGATGCCCTCTCTCGTCCGCCGACTACAAGACAAAAAGACTGTCGTCTTCCATTGTGCTCTTTCCCAGCAACGAGGGCCCAGCGCTGCGCTGCAGTACTTGCGGGAGCGCAACCAGATCGTCAAGCCGGGGACAGGGGCGGCCGACGTCAACCTGAACCAGACCGTTTACGTCCTCGACCGGGGGTTTGTCGGCTGGCAGGAAACATATGGCGAGGATGAACGCCTGACCGAAGGCTACGTCAAGGAACTATGGCAGGACGGGCACTGAGCTGGCACTAACGATCACCAATGCTTCATGCAGAATCCGAAAGTGTCGTCCCTCTCCAAGCAAGACCAACATGGAGATCTTAGCCACTCCTGGACCCTCCCTTTCCCCTACAGATCCCCCCCTCTGCGACCTTCTTGCGTCGATCTAGTGGTGTCGCCGGCGAATCACGACTCGTTGCCGGCTGAACGATGTCGATACAAGCCGGCAGGCATCTAGGACCGACCCATTGACTTGTGAAACTCTGGGAATGAAATGGGAAACCTCCAATTGCATGGGCCCTGTTGGTACGTCGCAAGGCACTGCGAGAGCTATTCTGCCAGCAAGCCGCTGGATGACGATAGTTACCAACCGTCCGACTTGTCAAGAGCATCATTACCGAACATGACCGAGTTCAAGGCGAACTCGTAGGCAGATGGGGAGCAACGCGAGGGCGAAATGGCCTAAGCATAGTTTCTCGCTTTCCAATGCAGCCCTTGAGGCAATAAAGCGTCGGCAATGTGATATTGGAAAATTGGAAAATCAAAGGCCTTTGAGCCCTACCTGTAACTCCATCGTGCACGTAATTACGGATACTCCGTAAATTGTTGATGTCCGCTGGTTGGTGACGATCGCCGTGGCTGAGATTGGCTCCCGTGGCTGACTAACGTACCAAACGGCTCCATAAGGTACCTTAGTGGTGTCAGGGGTTCCTCAGGTACAGGCTTTGCAAGGTACGTAGGTACCTCGGTTCTTGACTCGTGGGGCTGCCTGTCATGGTGGGGTTCTCCCAGCGTGGTGTCATTTGCCCTGCCATCCATGTCTGCATTTGTTTGCGCTCAGACTTGTGATAATAACTTCCGACTCGCAAAATCCGGCCCTTACTGTTTGCTCGCTCTCGTTTTCATCCCACCACCCACTCCATCTCTTCGGTCGCTCCTGGAAAGCCTCAGCACCCTGCCACCATGTCTCCCCCTCCCAGCGCTGCGGATGGCGCAGGCGGTTGCTCTAAAGCCGACGACCAGGTAGACATCAACAGTGCGTGACCATTTACTCAGTCCTTTCCCTCCTCACCCCGTACGCGATCGCGCTTGAACTGCCCTGACGCGTCTTTTACTTTTATTCCGCAGATCTCGGTTACGTCAAGACGCCCCAAGTCGACGGTCCATGGACCATTGAGAAAGTGGTCGCTTCCATCTCTGACGATGCGCCGCCATCCTCTTCGGGGACCAGCTCGCCCTTGCCCTTCTTCCATATGCTCGAACGCCTAAAAACAACCAAGCGCGAAGGATGGCGCCGCTTTGGCATCGACAGGTATATCCCATTCCCACCGAGCCCCGGGGCACCGGGCGAGCATGCCTCCACCACGATCTTTTGGCGACTGTAGCTTACCTGTACAATTTCTTTTCTTTTCTTTTTTTCTTCTTTTCGTTACAGGGGAGAATCCATCGCCGACCACATGTACCGCATGTCCCTCCTCACCTTCTTCGCCCCGCCCGCCCTGGCGCCCCGTCTGGACCTCAACCGGTGCATGAAGATGTGCCTGGTACACGACATGGCCGAGTCGCTCGTCGGCGACATCACGCCCGTCGACGGCGTGCCCAAGCCGGAGAAGAACCGCCGCGAGGCCGACACCATGGACTATCTCACCCGGGAACTGCTGGGGAACGTGTACGGCGGGCTCGCGGGGGCGGAGATCCGCGCCATTTGGCAGGAGTACGAGGACAGCGAGACGCTCGAGAGCCGGTTCGTCCACGACATAGACAAGATGGAGCTGCTTTTGCAGATGCTCGAGTACGAGAAGCGGGCCCGCGGCAGGCTCGACCTGGGCGAGTTTGCCTACGTCGCTACCAAGTTCTCGCTGCCGGAGACGAAGGAATGGGCCGATGCGTTGCTCAAGGAGAGGGAGAAATTCTGGGGGTCCGTGGAGCATGTCCACGGAGAGGCGGGCGTTGAGGGAGGGGTGAAGCGCGACACCAGGGAAAGGCAGGACGAGTATTACTCCAAGGGAGTGAACGAGTGAACGAACAGTGATTCAACGTCTTGCGAGGGGAGGAGGGGGCGATGATTGCGTCGCAGCATGTATGAAGAATATGATTTGACACTGCATCGGGCCGGGACACGGGCGTAATAAACTGGGCGCAGGGCGTCCTACGACGGCATTTTATGAGCGACAGGACGACTCCATTGGGTCCTTTCTCTTTTTTTTTTCCTTTATTATTATTTGTTTCGCTGACAAACCTTTTTTTTTTTAAGGCAATTACCGCCATGGTCCTATCCATTAACCGTCACTTTCTCTCTCCCTCCCCCCTCTCTTTCTTGACAACCAACCAGACTTCTTCCTCTCCTTACTCCAACTTCCGACTTGCGGCAGAGGGCGGACTTGGCCGAAACATCGAGACACCCGAGGACCAAGCCTCAACTCGCAACCATGCCTATCTGGTGCTTCCCGTCTTGCCCTCCCGTCATTACTGCAAGAGTTCATATCTTCCGGCTCTCATAGCGGCCTCTCTGCTCACCCTCTGGTGGCTGAATCAACCGTAGGTGACACGCTGATAGACAGCGGAATACTGCATGAGCACCCGGATGGCCCAGGAGCCTACTGCTATCATGTCGGCTTTTCCCGGCGGGATCACAAGTTCACAACATGCGTCGAAACGATGGGGGCGGTTCGAAAGGATAACCACATCCGAAATGCCGCAAGACGGCTCTTGATCTAGGTCGAGTGGGCCAGTTTACTTGGTGATCTGGTTTCTAGATCCCCGGTATGCTTTCATGTGATGTGGCTCGGTAATGGCTGGAAACGGGCTGTTGCGACATGGGGTCGGTTTGTCTCTGCAAGTCGTCGACCATACGTATGTTCCAACTACACAGGCGCATGTGGGATCTTATGGCAAGTTGAGGGGAAAGAGGAGTAGGTATATTAGACTAAGGAGTATCTGGTGCCCGACCACGTCCGGAGAAGAAAATCAAAAAGGCAAGGAGCGCAGCGCGTGCATGCCCGTTCATTCGTCTCAGGTCTTCCCATGTTCCATCGCCTATTCTTGAGACTGCTCCCTCAATAGTAACTAAACTAACCTCTGCACTTTGTGAAGTTTCCCGTCTAACCCGCTTCGTGTTTTGGCGATTCAATCTGGGAGCTGCAATCCTCATCGTGGTGTCATGAAAGCCCTGAGTGATCGTAGAGAGTGTGCAGTGTAGGCGAACTTTGAACGGCTGGGTGAGGAAGGGAACAAGAAGAAATGCCCCCCCTCTAATGGTCATTGTCGCAGTGGTACTGGTTGAGGCTACCACAGTTCTTATCACCGTGGGAGTGGCACTTGAAGCTATTGGGCTTGATTCCTTTGGAGCAGCAAAACTGGCAGCCGCCGATGGGCGAACAGTTGCTGGGCGCAACACAGCCGAGGGCCGTGTTGGGAGCGAGCAGCGAGGGATGGGCTGTGGCATGAAGAGCCAGGGCGGTTATGGTCAGGAACAGCTTGGTGGAAACCATCTTGTTTGGAAAGGGAGAAGCAAAAGTTGTATGACTGAAATCGGGAAGGGCGTTAAACTGGTTGTATCAGGGGTGAATGTCTAGGATTTTCGAAAGGGAAATGCATTCATTCGTGTCTAGGAGCCAGGAGATTAATGGACCTTTTTATAACCACCGTCTATCTCTTGTGGATCTTTATATTGAACACTTTTACTTTGCCTCTGTCCTTCTGTCCCTCTGTCCCTCTGTCCCTCTGTCCCTCTGTCCCTCTGTCCCTCTTCCCTGTTGTCACCCCGCAGCTGTTGACTCGATTCGGAAGCTCGATTCCTACTTTCAGTCGACTAAAGGGCCAGATTCCGGTTGTTCGACGGCACAAGCAAACAATAGGCCCCTCGGGATGTCCTGGGAAGTTTCATCGTAACTTCCCCCCGGATAGGATGGGTATTACGTGCCGCAGACGGTATTTAGAATGTGAGCTTCAACTTCGAGCGGTATGACCAAGACAACTTGAGTATGACCAGAGGCAAACATCCTGTTATCTAGGTCGAGGCAACCTCTTGGCAGACGGCAGACGGCAGAAGGAACAGAGAATGGACGTCAAAGTCACAGGAGGATAGAACGCAGGAAGGAGAGTAGTTGATCACACGGCTCAACTAGAGGGCAAAGACTGCCTATGAAAGGGATGTGATGAAAGTCGGCCCGGACCATGAGGGTGTTTGAGATATCGGCAGGCGCACAAGTCACAACCATCGATGCTTTTCTGGTCGAAGCGAAGACTTGAAGGTGGCTGGCCAACGTTTCAAAGGATTTATTACAGGCCAAAAACGAAAGATGCTGGGGGCACCGCTTGGGGAGAAATAGCCAGACTGGAGCTTCATCATGGTTGTTGGTTGAGATTCAGAGTGAAGGACGAGAAGGAGGTGTTGTGTTAGTTAGTTCTATCACCACGCACATCAACATTCATTTTTCGGAAGGACCAAGAAGAATAACAAGCTAGGCACCTTCCCTACTTGGAGAAGAGCAGAGCCAGTCTTATAGCCCTACCAAAAAAGCAAGGAAGGAGCGTCAGCAGCTATTATACGACGACTCTTCTCGGCAGGGCGAGTGAAATTTCCACAACTTCCAACTTCCAACTTCCAACTCTCAGCCCGCAACTCCCAACAAGCAAACACCGAGGAGAAGCTCACATCACCACATTTGACAAACGTACCAACCTCAAGAGGTCAACCGCCCACGATGGAAATCCTCGTCACGGTATTTCTTCTTCTCGTGGGACTGGCCTTACCAGCTGCGGCGTTTCCAGAGGGAAGCCCCGTTGCAACTCCTTCGCAGCCGGGTGACAATTGCACGTAAGCCTTTGACTCTTGAGTCCCCTCTGAAATTCCACCTGTTTTCTTCTTTTCTTCCCCCTTCCCTTCAGAGGCTTGTGACTGTGTATCCTGGCTGACTGATATCTGGGCGATTATGACCAGTTGGTACGAGGATCACTGGGACTGCGAGCGCGCCGGCGCCTGCTCGACCGTTACCGTCACGCAGCTGGGTATTGATGCCACCGTCACCGACTACGATGGGTTCATGAACTCGATGAACAGCGCCTACTCAACTTCGGGCATTTCTTTCAGCGGTGAACATGTCTTCATCTTCACGTCGCTGTACACGTACTCGGGTGGTAGCTTTACGGGCTACGGGGTGTACGACTCGCAGGCCCTGACCCAGGCCGGATACAACGTCATCACCGAGGTGCATACCACCACTACCTGCCCGACGAGCTACACGCTGCCGCCGTCGCCCACGGGGTCCATCTGTAGCCCTCATGGAGACCACTGTGAGTTTTTCTTCCCCGCTTTTTTCTTTCTTTTTTTTCTTCTTTCTTCCTTTTCTCTCCCACTGCAAGTGAGCATCCCACATTATCTGACCGCATAAAATGCAACAGGGCACTGCGACGCAACCCCTGTCCCCGAGCACACCTCTCTCCCGAGCGAGGACGAGGAATGTGAGGCCCACGACGACCACTGGCACTGCCCTCCCGGCGTTGAAGAGCCACCGTACCCTCCTGGTGGCGAAATGGGCGGCAACGAAGATGCCGATGGCGACGGGGACGAGGACGAGGATGAAGAGGATGAACCCGGGACTTCCCAGGGACCCCAACCGGGCCAACCCACGACGGACATAGTCGAGGAGGGCGGAGCTGCGGGGCTGGGAGTCATGGCCAAGCCGATCTTCGCTGCGGTCCTGGTCCCTGCCGTCATCTTTGGGCTCATCGGCTAATGTTGAAGGTTATTCAGGGTGAAAGGGACTGGCTCAGGAGTCAGGAGTCAAGTCGTCGTTGCTGGGGTAGTGGGTCCAAGGGATCCGATTCGGGGATCTTTGCACTAAAAAAAAGAAAAGAAAAAAACATAGTAATCATGGTTGCTTATCTTATCGAGAGCTCTATCTGCCCCATTCTTCAAGGTTCCCCACCCAGAGTACCCCTATCATACATAGGTATCATAGGTACCAATCTCCCAACGGGGGTACCTTGCTCGTGTAAGGTACTTTGTAGAAAAGAAAGTCTTGTTTACCTACTCGGTAATAAGGTACCTTATGTTTGTTGGCGGGCCGGGCCACTTGGAAAGCTCCCTCCAAACCTTCGTAACGATCACGGTATCACCAGCTTCGGATTCGTCGATACATCGCAGCCTGACCATTTTTCATCTTTATCCCAGTTCTTACAACGTCAAACTTTGGATATCCAAGGTGTTATCCCTCACCGCATTTTCAAGCTAGCTATGGTCGCTCCCTGCATCTGTTGTTGACAGCTCGGAGCGGTCAAGCGATCCCAAAAAATCACCATCACCATCACCTTCACCTTCCTTCACCACCAAAGCCACACCCGATCGTCGCTTCTAATCCCCAAAAGTCATCCCAGGTTTTGAGCACAATAAGCGCAAGCGCTACTATGACACGATCTTCGCACTACCAAATGCCGGGCGCATACTGGGACAGTCAAACGACCGGCGTCCACCCCGGCATCTTTCGACCTCCCATCTCCTCCTCCTCTGCCGCCTCATCGATGCATCTCGTCCAGTCAGCCGCCAGCCTCGTATCCGAGAATGCATCGTCTGCCATGCAAGCCAAGCGAAAACGAGACCGAAAAGAGTCGTCACGCGAACATACACCGTTGCAGGAGTGGTCCGACGCCAACATGAACATGAACATAGACAGTCTAGGCAGTCACACACCCCACCTCGACACTCCTGGGGCGGGAAGACGAGAACGAGCCATCTCGGGCCGCTACACTCTTGCTGGCCAGCTTGAGACCCCAGGAGGCGGCGGCGGCGGCGGCGGCCTCGAGGACAGTCTGTATTCCGACAGCGACTACCGGAGGGCTCTTGGATCCAAGAGACCTTTCGCCGAAGCCGAGTCGCCTGCAAACGGCCACCCGCACTTGCTGGTCAAACCTGACCACCAGGCGGGATCGAACGAAGGCTGGAGCAAGCTTGCTTTCAATACCATCGGTGGTGTTGTGGGGAAGTTCTGGGAGTTTTGCAAGACCGGCGCCTTCAAGGGGTTCTACGCCGGTGGTGGAAAGGGATACGCGCTGAATGATCATAATACTATCAACAGCAACGGTCAACAGGCCGTCCCGACATGGGATTCGCGAACAGCCAACGGAGCGAATATGCAGGCGGTCCAGAACACAGATGGATACTTCCCTTCGTTCAATCCCTCCTCCGTCACCGATCATACCGTTCCGGGCGGATTCCCGCAGTCCGACTACGCACCCTACAGCCCCGAGTGCTTCGAAAACACGACGCCCGAGTCGACGCCATCACAGCCGGCCGCGAAGCGCAGACAGCTCGACGAAGGCGACGAGTTGCGGCGGAACTGGATCGTGGTCGACGAACCGACGTCAACCCGGAAGAAGAACAATCCGCGACCCATCTCGCGAATGTCGGCCCGCACCACCCCTTCGCGAAACTCTCGACCTTCCATAAATACAGGCCGACGCATCAGCGTCCCCGTCTCCCGGCTCAGTTCGAGCGCGGCGGCCGCCGCCGCCGCCTCGCCCCGCCGAACGGCGCACGCGAACCACAACCGCATCTCCCACGCCGGCTCCCCCGGCCTCAGCCCCCGCGAACCAGCCAGCTTTGCCAGCTTTTCCGGCGCCCGGCTCTCCTTCTCGAGACCGTCGTCCCCGGGACCGCTCTCCCCCAGCCGCATCCCCGTGCCGTCGCGTCCCGCCGGCAGCGGCAACGGCAGCGGCAACAGCAACGGCAACGGCAGGAGCAGCCTGGGCCCCAATCCGTTCGCGCGGCCGTCGAGCTCGGCGGACTCGTACCATCCCCGCAACGGGAGTAGCGATGCTGCTGCTGCTGGCGCCCCCCATTTTACCCACCGACGGACGCAGAGCGGCGCCTCGGCGGCGACCTCGCGGGCGCCGCCGAAGCCGCGTGAGGAGGGCATCCTCCAGGACAGCCCGCGTCTGACGCCCGAGGCGAAGAAGTTGGCGGCGAAACGGAGGCGGGAGGAGCAGAATGCGGATATGCGGATGAACGATTTCAATACACGGCTCCAGGAGATGATCCGACAGGGGAAGGAAGCGCTGGGGACGAAGATTGAGGTGGCTGGGGATGCTGGGGGGTGGGAATCCGAGGATGACTGAGGGGGAGTTTCATTTTATTTTTTTTCCCCCTTCTTCTTCACTTCATGCCCTGTCTCTTTCTTCATAATGTCTCCCTCTTTTCTTTCCGGACCAGGCGGGAAATTGTCTTTTCTCTCAACGGCCTGGAGTTTGGCGCCGCGTGTTGACCATCTACTGAGTACGGATGGGAGACTTGGAACGTTATGACGGGGGGCGACACTCGACGCCGGGATCAACGCCCCATGATTTTACATCTTCTTCTACTTCACTTCTTCTACTTCACTTCTTCCATGTCTGATATCCCTGACTCTCTGGCTTACATGGGCGGACATTGTGGATTTTCGTCGCTTGAGATACCTAGTCTTTTTTTAGAGTGATGTTATTCCGACTGGCGTCCCGATGCCGACAGCTATTAGCTATTCTACCTGACTACCATCCTGTCCCTTTCTATAAGGTAATGAAAGAATACGCTGGATTAATGGATCAGACCCGGCTGCTTGCTATTGCTACACTTATACGCAAGCCAACATCTTCTGCCATATTTTGGGTACACTACGTGTACTTCCACTGATTGTATGGTACGTCCCCACTCGTATCATTTACCCCTGAGTTGACATGCACCAAAGACATCACCATCCCCCTTTTTTTTTTTTTTTTTTTTTTTTTTTTAATTCATTACGCGCATGCAGGCCTAAAGCTATGGCGCGGCGCCTATCGCCCTAAGGGCTAAAGGCTTTTTTTTTTTTTTTTTTGATTCATTACGCGCATGCAGGCCTAAAGCTATGGCGCGGCGCCTATCGCCCTAAGGGCTAAAGGCTATCAGAAGCTAGGTACAGTAAAATAGAGCGTACTAAACAAAGGAAATCCTCCGTAACAATCTGCCTAATAAAACCTAATAGGTGAAAAACCAAAGCAAAATAACTAGACCGCAGGAATCGTGGTTTGCGCCCTGTACCACTCTGCCGAGGCTATTTTAGAAGCTAAAAGGTAGGCCTGTAAGGCCTGTATTCACCATCCCCTATTCCGACTTAGACAACAATGTGTGCATGTGGTCATGGCAATAAACAAAAAAAAATGAATAGAGGACCAGGGAATTATACCGGTACACTCTGACTGGTACGAAGCAGACAACAAGCAACGTCCTTCGGTCGGCAATTCCCTCTCTTCTTAAGATGTCGTAACAAGCGTTTTCCAACTCTTGACTGTCCATCTCGGCATGCCAAAGCCGGCTTAGCACTCTGATCTCCGTGCGGTTAACATGCCCGGGGCACCAATAGAAACATTGAACCGTCCGGTGGATGCTTGCCTTTGCCCTCAACTGTTTCTTGGCTCGAGTGGAAGGGGTCGGGACCGTCGGGTGATGCATGATGTATGCCAAGACAGCAGGACGGTTCGGTTCGTCTTCCCCCATGTCAGCGCCTATGATTCTCGAAGTATCTCCAGGAAGAAAAAGGTCGAATGGACGAGAGACTCCAGTCATTTGTGCACCAACTGCCGAACACATTGAGAGACCAACGAGAAGCGACCGCGCTCCGGCTCCACCGGATCCAGGCATGTTTTCATGCCTCTCAGTGTGACGCTGTCTCAAAACTCTCAGTGCTGTCTTCTAAGTTCTGCCGGGGGCTCCGGGCTGGAAACTCATTGGGAAGGGCTCGTCAGTCCGCTTAACTATGTCTAGGATATTCCTTCACCGGCTTGCGAAGTCCTTGTCTCAACCTTGAAAATATCCCCCTATATGCCCCCCCCCCGCAGTTTCAGTGAGTCCACCATCTAGGAAGCCCGGCCTTGGAGTCTTGGACGGTTGGACGGTTGGACTTTTGTTTGCAAAAGCACGTCACTATCGTCACGCACCACGACTCGAGTCACTCGACATTTAACACCATGATCTGCTTCTCAGTGGCGCGAGTATGGACTCTGGTGGAGACCTCGGGTGGTCTATGGCCGGGAGAGGACTGGGCCCAGAGGGGACCTACACTACATACAGCTCCTTCAAGTGTAAAGGTAAGTGTAGTCTGGCTGCAGCCTGCAGGCGACAACCCGTCCTGGGGAAATACCAATATCCCTCCTGGATTAACCAACTGCAGGCCGGAAGAATATTGGGGGGTAAACGGAGAGAGCTCCGGCCTCCAAGGTCTCTCCAGGATTTGGATCTTCGTCGTTCATACGGACTGCAACACATCGGCATTTTCGCCGAAAGGAAGGTAGTTGTTGACTCTCGGTGAGAATCTATTCAGGGAAGATCAGGGAATGATCCTCAGTCATTATTTCCTTGCGTGGAAGTGAGCTTGGTTGCATGTGTCTTACTTATACCCAAGATGAACCCTTCTGGATTTCTTCTTTCCCCCTTCACCTCGGCGCTCTGTTTTTTGGTGACGACGAATCGACGATCATCCGGCTCTTTTGAAGTCCTCCTTGCATGTGCACTTCCTTCCTTTGCGCCCACCTTCCCGTCACCGACTCACTCACCACACTTCTAATACCCTTCATAACTCTACCATGCAGTCAAACGGGACTCCCAAGCAGAGACAGGAGCTCAGGGAGAAGCCCGACGTTCCCCTGGACGATTCCAAGGAGAAACAAGCCCCCTTCGTAGGAGACTTCGAAGCCAAAGATGACGCCTGGCGCAAGGAGACCTCCAAGAAGCTTCTACGCAAGATGGACGCCCATCTCCTGCCCATGCTCGTCGTCATGTATCTCCTCAACTTCCTCGACCGCTCGAACCTGGCTCAGGCTCGCTTGGGTACCTTGGAGGAGGACCTGGGTATGGCCGGGACGGACTTTAACCTCGCCACCTCCATCTTCTTTGTCGGTACGTTTCGGGCTCATCCCTTCCTCCCTTCCCCTCCGGGCCCTCCCCTCGCCTCCCAGTCCCTGGCCTCCGTTTCGATGCGTCGTGGCGTAGAGCTACGCTACCTCTCCTCGCTGTGCTGACTTGGATTCCCCCCATGAACTACATACATGCAGGCTATTTGCTCATGCAACTCCCCTCGAACATGCTCATCACGCGGGTCAGGCCTTCTCTGTACCTCAGCGCCTCCTGCGCTCTCTGGGGCGTGGTCTCGACCTGCAACGCTGCCGTGCAGAATTTCGAGAGCTTGGTCGTGGTGCGGTTTTTCCTCGGCTTCGTCGAGGCCCCCTTTTTCCCCGGCGCTATTTTCCTCATGAGCTCGTGGTACACCCGCGCCAAGCTCACCCGGAGAATCTCCTGGTTCTACGCCGGCAACGCCCTCGCGAACATGTTCGGCGGCTTGCTGGGTGCTGCCATCTTGGGCAACCTCCATATGGACCTGGGGGTTGCGGGATGGAGGTGGTTGTTCATCATTGTAAGTTTCCCCCTGTGGTCTTCCTGTCCGAGCACGCCCTGAACAGGTGAGGCCGAGACTGACACATACTTGCCACAACAGGAAGGCGTCGTCACCATCGCCCTGGCCCTTCTGGCCGGCTTTATCCTGCCCGACTACCCTCACACCACCCGCTGGTTGAGCGACGAGGAACGGGCTTTCGCCGCCTGGCGACTGCTCAAGGACATCAACGAGGAAGATGAGCGCCACGCGCAGACCGTTTGGGCCGGCTTGAGGCTGGCCCTAGCCGACTACCGCCTCTACATCTTCGTCTTGATGCAGCACATTAGTCTTCTCTCGCAGACCTTCCAGTACTTCTTCCCTTCCATCGTTGGCACCCTGGGCTACGACAACATTACTACTCTCTGGCTTACGGCTCCTGTTTGGGTAAGCGGGTTGGGCTGGGGGGGGGTATAAATGAAAAAGAGAAGAGGGAGAGAAAATTAGTTACTGACGCCCTCCGAACAGTTCGCGACATTCCTCATCTCTGTTTGCGTCACGTGGACTTCGGCAAAGACGAGAGACCGCTCCCTCCATATCATCATCCTCATGGTGTTTGCGGCTACCGGAAATGCCATAGCAACCGGTACTACTGTTCTCGGTGCGCGTTTCTTCGCCATGTTCCTGATGCCCATGGGTGCCGTATCTGCATGTAAGTCCACACTTTCCCCAGCCCCTTTCGCAACGGCTCGACTCTCCAAGCTACAGTAGACGAGACAAGACGACACGCTGCTCACGCAATGGTCTCATGCACTTTCCAGACCAGATCATCGTCTCCTGGGTGGCAAACTCTTTCCCCCGGCCCCTGGTCAAGCGCTCCGTCGCCATCGCCGTCGCCAACATGGTCGGCAACACCGCCAGTATCTACGGCTCGTACATGTACCCGAGCTCACATGCGCCGCAGTATATCCCCGGAGGAAGTGCCAACTCGGTCGTCTGTCTTCTGGTTGCCGCGCTTGCGCTCCTGCTGCGCTTTTTGCACAAATGGGAGAACAAGAAGCTCGAACGCGCCGAGACGGAAGGCGCTGATCCGGAGAGCCGTGAGGGCGAACGGAGGGCTGCTGGGTTCAGATATATCTACTAACTTGAGTTTTGCCTGGCTCTGTTGAAAAAGAGAGGAATTCGATACCCGGGATGGATGCATTGACATATTGGGAATTTGATATGAAAGTATGGTTTGGAAGGGAAGGGAGAAGAAGAACAGGAACATGGGAGCATGAATAAACAAGAACTTCTTGAAGAGCTCCCTTTCTTCTTTCGAACGATCCTACACTACTTCTCTAATATCTGCTCCACTCACACGCGCGCTAACTGTATTGCCAGATTCCACTTCACGGTCTCGGTGATCAAGGCGCTGATCGATGCCAACCCTAATGAACATGCCGATGGAAACGGAGAGGAACAGACCGGCGAAGACCACGGGGTCGGTGATTGCGTCCGCTCGCCTGTACTCGACGGGAGGCATACCAGGCAAAGGAGCAGGGCGATCATGAAGATGGGGGTTTGGCCCTAGGAAGGACCAGCGCCAGCGCCAGCCGATGGTGGAGGTTAAGTTGACGCCGGCTTGCCATGCGGCGACGTCACGGAGGGGTACAAGATGTGCAGGACTTGGGTAAGAGATGTGTTAGAGATAAGGGGTAAGGGAAAAGGGGTAAGGGGTAAGGGGGACAGAAGGGAATCCGACCTGTGATGAGAAGAGACGACACCGGCTCCGATTTCCGGTGTTGGATTATTACTTTCATTAATTTCTCGGTGTAAGTCGTTGAACATCCCGGTGCCCTTCCAGTAAATCAATCCGTCCTTCTCAAACTGCGGTCCCTCGGCGTCGACAATGTTGCCCATCTCACCCCGATTATACTCGACCCGAACCTGCTCCTGCTGGTAAAAGGCGTCAACCCGTGGCGACAGCGCATCCCTCAGCGAGTCGACATTACCCTGCCGGTGAAGAGCCCGCCATGGCTGCGTGCATGTGCTCTCCTTGCACGCCTTGGTCACCAGGAGAAAAGAGTCTAGACGCGCCACGACCTTTTCGATCGGGTAACCGAGGATCGTAGTAGCCGTGGAGTCGGGGCGGAGGAGGTTGTCGAGTTGCAGGGGCGATGCCGAGGAAAAAGAAGACAAAAAGAAGAAGAAACAATAAAAAAAAAAAGGAGGAGAGAAGAGGAGACTGACATTCAGATCATAAAGCTCATGCTCACTGGTGCACCAAGCCGAATAATACAGGTTATACCCCCCAGAAGTCACCCGCAGCCCCTTATACTTGTTATCGAGAACGAAGCTCGTGGCCCCAAAGATGGGCCACTTGCCCTCCCGAAGCAGCGAAACCCCAATACTCAACCGTAACGTGTTCGTGCCTCGTGTGGACCGACCCGTCGAGTTCCGCGCCCGTCAGCGGGATAGCCAGCCCATCAAAGTCAGGTCGCAAGGCAGCCCCCAGCCAACGAGACGATCGTAGGCGCCAGATCCTGATGCGTGGTGACCATCAACCCGGCCGGCCTCACGCCCCCTAGGCACGCCCCGGGACCCCGAACAATGAGGGGCACGTTGACATCCCCCTCATACCCGCACTCTTTTCGTCAAGTCGCTCCCAGCCCGTCCGTCTTCGGGATCAGCCGCGCTTCATCCACTCCGTCCGGTCCGTCCCTCCCCCGTGTCGCCGAAGTACAGGACATGTTGAAAACGTGGAACTCCCTAAAAGAAGTTGTTGTCGACCGATGGCCTAAGCCTTCATGCAACATGGGGATGTCAATTGCATCTGTCTTATGATGTTGTGTTGTACACTGAGCATGGAAAACACATCTGCGCCTTGACCCATGTCCCCGTCCCCGTCCCTCTCCTTGAGGGGAGTCTCTTTTTAATTGTGCCCAGTGTCCATGCCACGGCAAAAAGCCCGCTGTGGATATCTTCACGTCCGTCACCTCCCTCTCCCTCGTCATACGTTTTGCTTAAGCCGGATATCCTCGTTTCTCGCATTCGGTGAAGAAGATGACCATCCGCCAGAGCTTCTTGGCCATATCCTCTGCCTCGTCGTCCAGTGCCTAGATGCATTCAATGTCAGCGGGCTGTCTGAAGAAACGACAGGGTGAAAAGGGGGGAGAAGAAAAAAAAACTTACCCCTGTGAGCTCCTCGACAAGGTCCCCGGGCTTGCCATGCTTCCGTAGATGCTCTTCCACCACCTCCACCAGCAACTCCTCCTGCACGCCGAGGTACTCGACAATCTTCTTCTCCACAAACGGCCGCAGCTTCTCCCGGATGATGCTGTCGTCCAGGTAGTCCCACTGCACGTCCCAGTTCCAGAGCCCTTCCTTTTCTGACGGGATCTCCTGGGCGAGCGCGCGGATCGCGTTGTTCAGCTCCTCCTCCGTCATCTTGTCCACCGCCGTCGTCGGCTCGAACTGGATCGGAATCAGCTGCCGCTTCGTCGTGCTCTCCTGCTCCTCGTCGTCCAGCAGGCCCTCGACCTCGGCGATCGTGCGCCGAGACGGCGCCACCCGTTGCGCCTGGGCCCGCTGTGCCGCTGCGCCGAGCGAGAGCTTGAAGGGCGCCGCCGCCGGCGCCGGTGCCGCTGCTGCTGCTGCTGCTGTTGCTGCGGACGACGCCTGCTGCTGCCTCTTTTCCATCTCCTCCGCTTGCCGGTCGAGGAACGAGTCCGCCATGCCCTGCGCCCGTTCCATCTCCGCCTCTTCTCTGCGCCGCTCGTCCGCCTCGGCCCTGCGGTCGTGTTCGTCCCGTGCCGCCTCGTCGGCCCTCTCCATCTGTCGCTTCCGAACCCATGCGGCGTGGTCGCGGTAGTACAGGTGCGTCTTCCGACTCGCCTCCCGTTCGTCGTCCCACGTCTTCTCCCGCTCCAGCTGTTCCTGCCGCCGCCTCTCGAAGCTCTCCTCCTCCCGGAGTTCGCGGTCGCGCTCTCGTTCCAGTGCTGCTTGTCGAGACCGCTCTCGGTTGAACCACTTGCGCTCCGCCTCGAGGTACATCCTGTCTTCCTCCGCCTTTTGCTTGTCGACTTGTCTCTGGTATAGTTCCTCGTCGTCCGCTTCGCTCTCCTCGTCCTCTCGGTGGATGGAAAGTTCGGCGTTCGCGACGCCGCCGTTCACGAACGAGACGGACCGGCTTCCGTTGGCGCCGCCTTTCGGCCCGGATGGCACGTTCCCTGCGCCGCCGCGGGGGCCGACGGGGACGTTGTTAGCGTTGTCCGGTCCTGGGCTGTCGAGCCTGGTCCGCCGCGGTGGCCCGTTCGCCGCCCGCCTCTCTCGCTCTTCCAACTCCTCCTCACGCTTGAGTCGTTCCATGTCCCGCTGGATGCTGCGCTCACGGAAGGCCGCAATCTCGGCGGCCACGACCTCGCGCATCTCGGCCGGGATATCGGCCAATTCGTCGTCTTGCGCAAGGGCGATATTCACAACCTCGACGCTTTCTCCGCTGTTGCCCATGGACACGTCGCCATCGCCATCTGTTGTGGGTGCGGCCGCCTTGGGGTGGGCAAGTTCTTGAACGACTTGCTTGAACGCCTCTCTGGCCGCCTGCAATCTCGACTCGGCGGCAGAATCTTCACCCCTGTTCTCCTTGTAAGACTCGAGGTATTTGCGTGATGCAGGGTCGATCGTAACCCGTAGTTTTACCATCTCCACACCGTTGACCGCATCTCCCTCTGTCTTTTCTTCCTTCGGACCCTGCTGCTTGGACGGCACCTCCGCATCCTCGAGGATTTCGACAGCCGTGGCAAACGACTCGACGTCTTCGAACTGAGCAAACCCAAACTTGGCTCCCTGCGTATCGGACAGGGTCGAGGCGGCACTGTCCCAACGTCGCAATTGCCCGAGCGAGTGGAGGAGCTTCTCCATCCCTGCATCGCCGCCGACTCCGGCGGGGATTTTGTGAATAAAGACGGTGCGGAGTCGCTCTTCGTAGGTCGGAGGCACGAGTGCTTGCAAGGCCTCTCGCGCCGCGGTTCTAGACTGATCAGGGCCTCTTTCCGAGCCGAGGCCGGGTCGCCCCGATGTGGGCGTTGCGCTGTCTTTCCGGCCGCTGTCGACAGGGGTACTAGGTTTGCCGCCTAAAGCAGAGAGCCGAATGACCGGGGCACTAAAGTCGAAGTTCGGGATGTTTGGGGCTTGGAAGTTCGGTGGCAGGCCGCTTTGTCGGTTAGCTTGTACGTTGCTGGGCGGTTGAACACCGGGAGGTGGTGCCATGCCTGGAGCGGAGGACATGCCTGGCGGAGGACCTGTGACAGCAGTGGTCAGCATGAGAGGGAAAAGAAAAAAAGAAAAGAAAAAAAGAGAAAACCAGGACAGGAGAGTTGGCATACCTAGACCAGGCGGCGGCGCCATGCCCGGTGGAACTGAGGTACCTCCTGGATAAGCTCCGTATGATGGAGGAGGCCCGTAGGGGTTGGCTGTGAACGGTAAGCATCAAAGCATCCAAGCAGGTCAGGCTATAGGGAAGACGGGTCGTAAACTTACGTGCATACGGATTGTACGCCATGATGCCGTTCCTGGCAACGGGGGCCCCAGAATATATCGTTATTCCGAGCTGCTCAACTTGAAGACAACACGCAATCCCGGTAGAGGGAGGATGCAGAGCCTCTTGAAAATGCTGAGATCAGCAGTTCTCTACTGTAGATACTGGAAGACCAACAGAAATTGTCCTGTAATTCCAATTTTCGTGAAGAAGACCCGACACAAATGGCAACGATGACGACACTTGTTCTCGATGCCGGGAAGAAAAGATGGTGTAGAAGAGGAGGGAGGTAGAGAAACAGAAGTAGAAGGGCTGAAGGTTGAATTGAATTCCTCCATGTACAATTTTTGGCACTGGTTGAAGTCACCCGCGTTGTACGTTGTACGAAGTATTTCCCCTACACGCGACTGCCTCCTGATTGGACCGAGATGCGTGACAGGTGGGACCCCCGGGACTCGGGGAATATGTTTATCCGTCATTGATTTTGAAGCTTCGAACTCCCAGAAATATCACGAGAAACTGTTGGGACACCTCAACTTTCACCCTCAGTCTTGCCATTTCCATATCGCCCTGGCGTTTTGTTACCGTCAATCGTCATGTGAGTATTTCTTATTCTTTTCTTTTGGATAAAATGTCAACATTTGACTAATGACTTTCTTTTCCAGGGCGACGGAACTGAGAATGGCGAGCAGAAGGCTGCTCCAACCGTGGACCCTGCAAAGGGCCTCGACGCAATGCATGCGCACGCCATTTTCTCCGACATCACTTCCATCCTCTCGATTCCTCACAACGACCTCCCCCCTGCTGAACCCGCGCGACGTCCTCCGTCCCTCCTCCAACCACCCCAAACCAACCTGGGCCTCCCGAACCAACCCCAGCCCCAACGCCAGCACTCCCACCTCCACGCTGCCGACGCCGCCGCCGCCGCCGCCCCCTCTGTCGGGCAAAACCAGCGGCAGCAACGCGCTCGAGAAAGCCGCAGCGACAGACCACGTCTACGACGCGACGTCCGACACATTCGACCTCTCCAAGATGATCGCGGACGAGTCGGCCGCCTTCATGCGCACGCACTACACGGACCGGCCCCAGACCGAGATGCGTCTCAAGCCCGTCCTGGGCCGCACCGTCAAAGTCACCAACAACATGGACATGGCCGGCGCTCTCAAGCAGCTGGATCGCGTCTGCAAGGCCAACAGGCTGTACCGCTACACGCAGATGCAGCGTTTCCATGAGCGCCCCGGCCTCAAGCGCAAGCGGCTCAAGAGCGAGCGCTGGCGCGCGCGCTTCAAGGTCGGTTTTGTCGCTGCCGTCAAGAGGGTGCAGGAGCTGAAGAAGCAAGGGTGGTGAGAATGCATGTAGGCTTCTTGACAGTGTAGGAATACGGGTGTTGGGTCCTCTTCTATACGGTCATGGAAAGACAAGGTCGGTCATGTCATCTGGAAAAGAAGGGGCTGCTGCGTTGTTGACCAGGACCAACCCCTGTACTGTATCCGGTTATGTAAAACAATAGAGCAAACATTCTGCGGCCTCGAGAGTCAATGCGATGGATAAAAGACTGGTGTGAGAGTTTCCGACTCGTTTTCTTCGTGGTCATGTCATACCGGGCTTCGGTAATCACTCGACTGTGACCGAGAGGATTCATGGGTGGTTCTCCCAACTAACCCGCTCCAGGTCCCCCTTCAGAAAAATCATTTAAAATATTTATGTTTCTTCCAAAATTCAACCACCTGCCCCCCCGGAGAAAACACTCGGGGCTAATCATACTCAAAGTGGCTCCATGTCCCTCCGGGCGAAGGCAGCGGACTCGTCTGCAACTTTGGCCGGCTCCGGAACACAGCTTCCGCATCCTCTACCCCTTGCTCCATCAGCTCCACCGCCAGCACCGACGTGTCCCCCTCTCCTTCTCCCGCCCCTTCCTCCTCCACCTTGGGGAAATAGCTCCCTTCCCGCCTCGGCGGCGCCATCTTCGACCTGCGCTGCGACCTACGCCGTTCCAGCTGTGCCTTTTGCTGGGCGGCCTCGAACCCGGCCATGCTCCTCCGCGTCCGAGCCACCAGGTCCTCGTGGCCTCCCTCGGCAGCGCAGTCGGCGCTCGCCGTGGCCGTTGTGGCATCGGGCAGAGATGGCTTTGCGTTCGCGCCGCCGGGTGTGCGAGGCGTCCGGGGAATGAGTTCGTCTTCGCCGTCGGAGTCAAATGGCTTGCCGCCGCGAGATAGGCGGGCCATCGAGAGACGGGTGCGCTCCGCGAGTGACAGGGTGTGGCGTGGTTTAGGCTGTTTGACGGGCGAGGGGGAGGCATTGTTGACAGATGCGAGAATGTCGTCGGCCAATTTCTGGGTAGGGGATGGTGGTTCAGGAGACAGAGGTTCCTCCAGTTCGATGGACTCGAGGACCACGGAAGGTCGGGGTTTCCTTTCGGGTGAGCGGCTAGGCGTCCTGCTTGCATGATCGTGGGTAGGACCGGAGATTTGTGGTGGATATTGCGAGAGTGATGTAGACGGTAGTTCTTTTGATTCCTTTGCTTCGGGGGACGGGTTTCTGTTGAGGACAGGCCGCCGCAAAGAACGCTGCCTTGAAAATATCCCACTAAGTTTCACTGCGCGCTGGCTAGTCTGCCGAAGGCCGGTTTCCGCAACAGCCTCCTGGGTTTGGTATGGCTGGAGATGAGGCTCTTCGATGTCGCTCACATCGGAGATGGCGTCCTTTCCAGGCCCTTCAGCGTCGCGCGAGGTGATCTCCGGCCGCGTGGGCTGACGAGTCCTGGGAGCAAGGGGGAACTTGAAGGCTTTCACCTCGGTCTGTCCGACATCAGACAGCTCTTTCTCACACTGCTCGAGCAGTGTTTTGTATTCCGGGGTCAACGTCTGCGTGTGCATGGTGAGCTGTTTCGTCGGACCTATGCGGCCGAGGTGCAAGTTCTCGTGGGCGTCGAAGCCGAGGTCGATACCACGCTTCCTCTCTTTGGTGAGCTCTGTTGCTGGCGGGGCTGCACCCTCGCCATTTTTCCCGCACATCCTGCGGTGCAGGTCTCGACGTTTCTGCAGGCTCTCCTGCTGCACCTTGACGCGGTGCTCGAGCTGCTCCAGCAGCCCTTTTCCCTCAGTCTCCAGCTCGGACAGGCGATCAGCCTGGACCCTCCTCCAAACCCTGTCAAAGGGTGCGGCGAGGACGCCGTCGGTTCGAGCATTTGCATCCCCGTGCAAGAGGGCCTCCATCCAGCGCTCATGGCCCGCCCAATTGTTACGTACCATCCTCCACATGTCCAGACGGATATCGTCTGTGACTTTCATCCCCGCGTCCGTCGCGTTTGCTTTTGTGGCCCTTATCTGTTCCCGTCTCCTGGCGATATTCCGTTCTTTCAAGTCGAGCAACTCGGATAGGTCTTTGTACTGCTTCCGGGCCTCGTCTTTCCGCCGCAGGAGGTTGCAAAGCGATACCTTGTGCGCCAGGGCCAGAGTTACGAGCTCGCTACGGCCATCGCTGTAGCCCCGGTCTTCGAGAGCAAGCTGCTGCGCAACAGCAGGATGGTCGCCTTGGGCCTCGGTGGCTGCAGCGGCGAGCTTCTTGAGCACGGCAGAGGAAAAGGCGGCAAGAACCTCCTCAAGCCTTTCGCCCTTGCACTCGTCCAGCATGGTCTTTCGGACGACGGCATCGCGACCTAGGACGCCATTCTTCTTGGCTTGTTCGAGACATTTGAGGAGGGCGGCTCGGAGGTTGAGGGATTGGACCTGGTCACGGGGCGGGAAGTAGGGAGCGAGCTTCTATACATGCAGTTCGTCCAGGTCAGCGCCAGAAAGAACAAGAAAGACGTTTGCATGGTGAAAACCAAGAACAAGAAAGAACTTTCTGGCCAAGATCAAACGTACGGTTTGTGCTTCCTCAGCGTCCCAAAGCACGAAGAGCTGGTAAAGGGCCCATTCGATGCTCTGGATGCGTTTCTTCTGGATGGAGAAGGTTTGGGCATCGAAGCCCGGCCAGTCGGGACACGGGTCGAGATCGAGAAGCCGAAGGTTCGTCAGAAAGAGAGACAGATTGGAGGAGCGAGTTGCTGTAGCTGGTGTGGAAGATGTCAGGGCGGCAGTGGGTTGAGATGGTGTTTGTTTTCCAGTCGTGGTGTTGGAGCTTGTGTTGCGTAGGGACCGGGAGCGAGCGAGAAGCGAATTGGGCGGTAGATTCGCCATTTCGACATCTTTCAGCTGCGTTGTAATTTTCTTCGCGCGTAAGATGTGAATTCGGGGATTGTTTTGTTTTGTTTTGTTTTGTTGTTTTGTTTGTTTTGTTGACCTCTAAATGCTTCGAACAAGCGGTGGGCAACCAGACTCGAGGTACGAAGTACTCTGTACCTCGTAGAGGTACCTAACGTAAGGACCTAACGTAAGGACAGGCACCTACCTTACGGAATGGACAGCCTTCACCGGCATGTCTCACCGAAGACCGTCGTCGGTGTACCCCACACTCACCCCGCACCCCCAAAGCTTACCCCTGACCAAGGATCCCTCACCACCGGTACGTATTCCGCCCTCCTAACCGACCAGCCGAGGCAACCACGAATGTTTATTCATCCTTCGTTGTTTGGTTTCGCTACTTGATCACCGAATGAAGCCTCTTAACAAAACGACTCTCCTATCATCGATTTTTAGAAACAGAGACAGGCATATTCTATGACCAAACGACTCTCCTACGGTGTCCTACGACTCCTACCCAGGCTACCCTATGTTCTTGTCTTACTGTGAACTATATCCAACTATTCATCTATCCACCTCTATAGGACCGACAAGAAGCAGAGGTCCATCATCATCATCATGAAGCTCCCATCATCTCTTACCTCTCCACCACCTGAAGTTCCCGATGTTCTCCTCTCATTTCCTATTCCGCACGTAATGGTGATTACCCTCAACCGGCCAACCAAGCTCAACGCGGTACCGCGGGGTCAACATGCCGCCCTTCTGGCCTTGTACGACTGGTACGACGCCCAATCGCATCTCAGAGCCGCGATTCTCACGGGTTCAGGCCGCGCCTTTTGTGCCGGCGCCGACCTCAAGGAATGGCACACCAACAATGACCCCTCATCTGCGTCTGCGTCTGCTTCTGCTTCTGCTTCTGCTTCTGCCTCTGCATCATCATCACCATCATCATCAACCCCGTCGCCATCCGCACCAGCACCACCACCCGAGAAATGGCCCGCAACAGGCGGCTTCGGAGGCCTCTCCAACCGCCGCGGCAAGAAACCCATCATCGCCGCCGTCAACGGCCTCTGCCTCGGCGGCGGCTTCGAGATGGTCGCCAACGCCGACCTCGTCTACGCCCTCTCCACCGCCACCTTCGGCCTGCCCGAGGTGACCCGCGGCGTCGTGGCCATCGCCGGCGCCCTGCCCCGCCTCGTCCGCATCCTTGGCCGCCAGCGCGCCACCGAGATGGCCCTGCTGGGCGACATCGACTACACGGCCGAGCAGATGCGGACGTGGGGCCTCGTCAACGGCGTCGTCGAGGGCTCCGACCCCCGCAAGCTGATGGACGCCGTGCTGGCTGTCGCGGCGAAGCTGGCCTCCAACGCGCCTGACGCCGTCGTCGTCTCTCGCGAGGGCCTGCTGAGCGGTCTGGAACCCGAAGACCCGCAGGCGGCTACTGTTCGTGTCGAGGCCGGTATCTACAGCGAAATGGAGGGAGGGGAGAACATGATGGAAGGTGTGCGGAGTTTTGTGGAACGGCGCAAACCTGTTTGGAAGGACAGCAAGCTCTAGATCATTACGGACGGGTCTTCTGTGGATGCGTGTGGGCTACGATGTTCTAGGTAGGTTGAAGACGTATAAAGAAATAATTCAATGGCCTGGCTGACACATATCGGGTTGCAGTATTGCGCGACAAAATTTGAGAGGTATTTTTTTTTTCTGAGCCCACATTCTACTTTCTCCCTCTCCTTTCCCTACAATCCGTGAATGCCAACCGTGAGAAAGTTACTGTCGGCCTCGCTCCTCTCCCGGATCGGACCAGCTTTGAGTTCCTCCACGTCCCAGTGCGCCCAGACGAAGCGCCCATGCAGGAATGCAGCCTCCTCGGAGGCCGTCCAGACGGCGAAGTCTCCCGGCAGTTTGACTGTCACTGTTGTCAGTTTCCTAAATCAAAGAAGAAAGAAAGAGGGAGGGAACGGGTGAAACGGGGGGAAACGGGGGGAAGGGGAGAATCAACGGCCATCACTCACTATCATCCCACTCAAAAGCATCCTCTCCCTGGCCCGTCTGCTGGCCTATCTCGGTATAGAACACACCGGGGTGGAAGCTGACGACCTGCATGTCCGAGACAGGATGGTTGTGGGCGATCAGCTGCGCGAGCATCAAACCCGCCGCCTTGGTCACGGCGTAGGTTGGCCATCTACCCGCAAACTCCGGCGCGTGGACAACAGCCGTTGACAAGTTAATCAGCCACTGCCATGTTGATATTCTCCAGTCAGTCTCCTCCTCGCATGATGAAATGGAAAAGAAAAAAAAAAAGTAAATACGAGTCCCGCGGGTTTCAAACTACACACGTACCAGCTTCTTAGACGCATCACGACCCGGCTGCTTGTAGAACCTCTCCGTGAAAGCCAACCCCGCCTTCACATTGATGTTGAAGTGGTTCCAGACCTCCTCGGTGCCCTTGCCGAGGATGGTGTGCGGGAGGCTCTGCACGGCGGTACTCAGCAGCAACACGTCCACCACCACGCCATCGGCCGCGAACCCGTCCCAGAGCGACGCCACCTGCGCGGAGTCGGTCATGTCGCTCGGCCGTCCCAGGACCTCGGCGTCCGGGTACTCGCTCTTGAGCCGGGCCACCGCGGCGTCGACCCTGTCCTTGCGGCGGGCGACGATGATGACCCTGGCGGCGCCGGCGGCTGCGAAGGACTGCGCGGCGCTGAAGCCGATGCCCATGGACCCGCCGCCGATGAGGACGGTGCGGCCGGCCTGCGACACTTCGGGACGGGTGGGTGAGATGCCGGGGTAGGACTCGCGATGGTATGTCTTGGTCAAAGTCGCGGCCTGGAGGAGAGCATTTCCGCTGTCGTTCTGCTGGTCAGCCATGATGAGGGTATATGTCCGTGGTTGTGCTGATCTATGGTGGTAAAGTTGTGGTGCGTGGAAGCTGAAGTTCAGAAGACGGGGATTAAGAGCTGAAGATTATATCGGTGGCTAATCTTGTGTTCTCGATTTGATGTGCGTTTGAGAGTGAGAGACAGAGAGAGACGGAAAGAAGAAACCGAGAGAGTCTCGTCCCCTTATATTCCATCTTCGTCGACTCGAATAAGGATAACACACGCGTAACGTTATAGAAGATAGAGCAGATGCAAGGGACGGTTCACACAACGCATCGACATGTTACAAGTCCTGTAAGTCCGTTAGTTCCGCACCGTCCACTTACCCGAAAAGGTTCCCTTCGTCTCCTGAATTACAAACATTGCTGCTGATAAATTGAGGTGGAAACATGAAAAGAATCGCGAGAGTGAGACCCCAGGGGCTTCGTGGGATTATGGATTATAAAAAGTTAGGAACCTCCATTTGTCATCAAGCGAATGGGGCGAAGGATCCAACACCCACCCACTTCGTCAAGAGTTCAAAATGCTCATTCCATGCTTCTCCGCAGTAGAACATACAGCTAGTGCTTATGGTGTTGCTGTTGATTAATCGAAGCTGGGTTAGCACGGAGTGTGGATAGGCCTTGGTAGATTGTAGTAATAAGGTACCTAGTCTGGATGGATCTGGAGAGATCATGTGACTGGCCTGCCCGAGACGGAGCAGGGGAGCTCGATAAGATGAGAGATGTTCCCCTGTTTTCAACCTGGGACAATGATACCTCAGTACCTTATCTTCCCGAACAAATATACCGCGGGAAGTACCGCCGAACGTACCTTAAGGTAAGGTACTAGGTACACTACCTACCTTAGTTGCGACAACCTGGAAGATCCAGAGCCTTGGGTGAAGCCACTCGAATTGAATCTTCTCGTTCCATTGACCTACCACGCCTTTTGTGGGTTGGTGTTGAAGAAGAGGTTAGACAATGAACGGGCACCGCCTTGCCTTCAGAAAGATGCATGTCTGTCCCATTTGCTACAAAAAGCACACACCATCATTACCATACAAACGCCTATGGAGAGCTGTTTCCAGCGTCGGCAAACGACGTCTAGATGTCTTGGTTTCCCCCCCGGCCCCGTCCTTGACCCCTTGTCGCTCAGCCCTTTTTTTCCATCGTTCGCTTCACCAAAGCTTTCTCTATGCGTCGCTGGCTTCGGCCTCTGATGATGCCTCTGACGCCTCCTCCTCGCTCACCCCGTTGGTCTTGTCCCCCGCCGCGCCCCCCTGCGCCTCTAGCCTCAGCCACTCCTCCCACTCCGGGAACAGCTCCTCGTCCTCGCCCGGCGTGCCCAGCAGCTTCGACACCCGGCCCTTCTTGTTCTTGTCCAGGCTCTCCTTCCACTGCGCCACCAAGCCCGCCGTCAGGCTGGGCTGGTACGTCTGCGAGAAGAGCACCGCCTCCGCCAGCCGGCCCGTCTTGACCAGGATCTCCACGCAGCCCGCCGCGTTACCCGCCAGCCACTGCGCGCTGAACGCAAGGTTGTGCACCCCGGCCGCCTCGGCCTGTTCCGCCAGCTTCGCCAGGCCCTCGCGGTCCGACGTGGACGAGTAGAGCAGCAGCAGCGAGCCCAGGTCCCGCGCCTGGGTGAAGCACTTCTCCGCCAAGGCCACGTCCCACCCGGCGAGCGCCGCGTCGCCCACCGTCTTCCACTTGTGCTCGGCGTCGGCCTCCTTGGCGAGCTCGAGCGCGATGTCCAGCTGGTTGAGCGCGAGCGCCAGCTCGAACTTGTGCTCGGGGTCCGTCGCCACCTCGAGCGCCAGCTCCTTGTGACCCTGGCCCTCGAGGAAGCGCGCGATCTTGTTGAGCTGGTCGCTGGGCACGCTGGGCAGCATCTCCGCCGCAGTCTCCATGTCGCCGCGCAGGACGAGAGTCTGGTACTCGAGGACGGGCAGAGACAGCCCGAACGAGGTGACGTTGACATCCTTGTCGGCGAGGTAGATCCGTGAATCCCGCTGGATGTATCCGAGAATGTACATGGGCTGGTCAAAGTGTGAAATCGTGTAGGTCTGGTCGCCGACCAGGTAGTTGAGCCGATTCGTCGAGTTGGTGTAGATGAAGCAGTCACCGATCCACTCGCCAGTCCGTACACTGTAATCGTGTCAGTATTCTTATCGCCGCTTGGTCGCAGGAAAAGAAAAGAAAAAGAATCCCATGGAAACGGAAAAATAGGACACACCTCTCGTTAATGTCCGTAATGACCTCAAATGCAGCCTCCACTCCGTCTTCTTCCACCTGGTCGTTCTGAACCGCCTCAACATAGGCGTCACGAGAGAAACTCAAAACGTAAAAAGAGTCTTCGCAGGCCAGGGCAACCAGTTCGCCACTCTCCGACCAGTAGACCTACGAGATGGGGACGTCAGCATCTTCTCACACCCAGAGACGTCGCCCCCAGCATCCATCTTCGAATGGGAACCTACCTGTCTCGGCTCCACCTCGATACGTCGGACGAGGCCGCCGGTGTGCCAGTCGAAAAACGAAATGCCGCCCTGGCCCTTCACACCGAGCAGGACACCACCGGTAAGGCCTTCGGCCTGGAAGCCCACGTCGAGACCGCCCGACTTCTCCGCGAAGTTCTTGTACACCTTGACGCTGGTCGGGGTTTCCCGAATGGCAAAGTCGTTGCTGTTTTCCTTGGAGGCCCAGACAAAGTCGAGCGCCGAACCGAAGGCCTTGTTCCTCCACGCCAACGCGGTATAGATGATATACTCGCCGTCGCCGCAAACCGCGACGAATCGGCCGTTGGGAGAGTGGAGGAGGGTCTGGGGATACACCTCGCAGCTGCCGAGGTCCTTGGTGGGCAGCACGATGGGGGTGCCGTCCTTGACGGAAGCATCGCCGCCCTTGATGATCGCCGATATGACCTCGTTGTGCTTCGCCCAGATCAGCTTGCCGGACGCGTCCATCGACACCGCGGGCTCCTCCCGGCCGAGTTTGACGACGACCAAGCCGTCGTCGAACCCGACCGCCACGCCCTGCTTCCCCTTCTGGTAGGCGACGCACCAGGCGCGTTCGAGGCCGTAGTTGAGCGACTGTTCGAACCGGTACGTGTTGGCGTGCCATAACCGCACGGTGCCGTCCTCCGAACCGGAGATGATGACGGGAAGCTCGGGGTGGTAGCAGGCCCAGGAAACGTTGTTGGTGTGCCCTTCGAGCGTGGCGATGAGCGACTTGGTCGTGTAGTCCCAGACCTTGACGGTCCGGTCGTCGGAAGTGGTCAGCAGGTACGGCTTGTCGGAGTGCGGGTAGTAGTCGACATAGTTGACGCCCTTGGTCTCGTGGGCCTCCAGTGTGAAATTGGCCGTCGACGAGCCCAGACTCCAGATCTTGACAGTACGGTCGAGACACGCGGACGCGAAGGTGTTGGTGTCTTTAGGGTTGATGGCCAACCCCATGACATAATGGCCGTGGCCCTCGAAGACACGCACGCATTTCCAGCCCTTTTCCCAGTCCCAAAGCTTGATGGTCATGTCATCCGACGCCGTAAGAACAAAAGGTTGCGTCGGGTGGATGGCGATGGCGCGGATGTAGTCTGGGTGGGCCTCGAAGGACGTGATCTTCTCGGAAGTGTTGTAGTTGTAGACGCGCAATTGGAAGTCGTCGGATCCGCACACAATCCAGTTCTTTCGTGCCACAAATCGGCCGGCTCGGACGGGGACGTCGGTGAGCTCGAATGTCTTGACAATCTGCTGAGTTTCATAGGACCAGATGTATGCATGACCTAATATGCGGCAACCGTCAGTCCTGCATCATACCAATAGATAGTTCGACGGGCTGCAGATCCCCCGTTCTCGAGGCGGGACATTTCCGGAGAAGAAAAGGGCAAGAATTACCAGAGTACAGGGTGGTCAGAATCCATGGCTCTTGAGGGTGAAAGTCGATGCCCTTCACCCTCTCGCTGCGGGCGAAGAGTTGCCGCTGGCGACACGCGTTAGTATAAAAATGGCGACGAGAAATTCCATCCTCCACCACGGAGTCGCCAAGTCAAACCAACCTTTACGTCAACCCTCATGGTATGTCAAGCTGCGGTAACCCAGAAGAGAAAAGGGGGTGTAATAGTAGAGAGAGCGGTCGAGCGGTAGGCGGTCGGAGGGGTGTGGTGTGTTAATGCAACGTCGCCTCTAATAGGGGTTCATGGGTTTTGGGCGGCTGCGCTGACGGGACAGCTTCGCGTCAATGCAGGAAAGTAACTGGAATCCGATTGCGAAGCCGTACGATCGGTCGGGCAAGGGAGGGAAAGGGTGGCAGAATTTCGTGGTAGTAGATAAGCTGGCTCCCAGAGCTGCGGTGGACGTAATTTTGGCCTGTGGCAATTGGAGCTTGATTCGATGTGTCCCTTCCCTAGGAGATTGCGGATGCCTTATTTGGGGGGAGGGTGTCTTAAGGCACCAAGAATACAGCTGTCAGCATTTGCTAGGCTTGCTTACTCATCAACGAACTTGCAAATAGAACTCCAAGTCTCTCTTCAACTGACCACAACAATGTGGATATCCAGTTTTACTCCGTGCATCTTTCTCAAATCAACATGAAGCGTACTGAGAGAAGCGAAAGAGACATATGGACGGCCGAAACCTTGAGTCCAGTAATGTTTTACATGCTCTACGCTTATCCGTCAAGACTCGCACCGTTGACCCATGATACGGAAGATGCCCAGTCGGGTCAGACTTATGACCAAGACAAACACGAGAGTTAGACAAGTTGTCTGCGGAATGAAATATGAGCGGTTCGCTGGAGTTGTGGGATGTAACGGAAACCCGCCGTTGCCTGCCGCCTGCCTAGTTGAATTTGAAAACTCCCAGTGGCAAAGCTGGGGAAAATACACGTTTCGACTAGTTGAATGAGCTTGCTGAGGCCACTTGTTTTAAGAGTCACATTCATGCATTGCAAAGCAAGTCGGTAAAACTTCTGAGAGGAACACCTCTGCTTATTCGATTGCACTTTACGATTCTTTAACCCATTTTCTCATGCTGCCTGCTCTTGATGCGGTGGATCAGAGAAAGTCTTTCAGCCTGTCATTGCAGCACAGGCTAAAATCAACCTGCGCGCCTCATCATGAAACCCTTAATCCTGTACCCCAACGCCATTTGCTGTAATGTGGTCCCATAATACCGGCTCCCAGTGACGAAAAAAAAAAAAAAAAAAAAAGGACAAAGAAAAAAGAAAAAAGAAAAAAGTGAGTTCGTCCATATGTCGTGGATAGATATCACGATCAAACAAAGAAAACAAAGCATGCGTGGAAACAAATCAAAGTTTTGACGATAGTCAATCCTCGGCGTCGGCCTGAACCTTGCGGACGACCTCCACGAGCATGGGATGGATCTTCTCAGAAGACTGAATGCCACAGACCTTCTGCACGACCTCCTCTGGGCTGTTCTCAGCCATAATCTTGGCCAGCTCCTTGCTCTCTTCGTCGCCGTCAACGTCCTGGAACCGGAAGGCCATCTCCGTGGCGCGCAGAAGCGCGGAGCAGTCCTTGTCGTCCTCGGCAAGGGCGGCGGCAGGACCAATGAATCGCTCCTTGCGGCTGAGCTTGCGGAGCGGGGCGCGGCCGACACGCTCGGTGGCATCTTCCAAGTGAGGGTTGCCGATGCGGCGGATGATCTTCTCGGCGTACTCTTGCTGGGCTTTGAGGGTAATGCCGTGCTTGGAAACAATGAGCTCGGTGGTCTCTTTGAGACCCTGGCGCACCTCCGAGAGGATAGCCTTATCCTGGAGAGCGTCGTAGACTGTCCGCTTGCTGCGGTTATAGCCGTAGTAGGCGGCGGTGGCGTGACCCGTGTTGACGGTGTACAGCTTGCGCTCGATGTAGGGGGCCAGGTCCTGGACCCAGTTGATTCCCTCAATCTCCGGATGGCCGGTCTCGGCGAAAGGGCCGCTCTCGACAACCCACTCAAAGAACTTCTCCAATGTCACATCGAGTCCAGCGTTGGGATCTTGCGCCGGGACAATTCGGTCAATAGCCGAATTGGCGTAGCGAGCGCGCTTGTCATGATCCGCCAGGCGATCTTCGGGGGTGTTGTTGGGACTCTTGATGAAGCTGGCGAGGGTGTCGGTGGCGCCAATGGCATTTTCGCAGGCAATGACGGCGATGGGGTTGGCGTCGTTGGGGCGCTGGTCGATGCCCTTGGCGATGACGGGGGCAATGAATTTGAGGATATTGGGGCCGACAGAGCAGGTGACGGTGTCGGCGGTGGAGATGGCTTTGATCAGATCGGACTCGTGCGTCCTAGAGTTGATGGCGCGATAGTTGGAAATCACTTTCTCGTTTGTACCTTCGCTACCGACCTCGATAACTCGGTAGGAAGGGGTGGAGTTGAGGGCGTCGACAAGAGCATCGGAGACATCGGCGAAGATGACTTCGTAACCCGAGTTGTGGAGGAAACAGGCAACAAAGCCACGGCCTGGAGGGGAAGTAAAGGTTAGTCGCTGACCGCGTCCGGGGTCTTGCCTGTAGGTTCCTCCCCCCGCAAAACCGCGAGCGAGGACCAGGCTTAAATGGATAAGGGAAGAGGGGACATACCAATATTGCCAGCGCCAAAGTGAACAGCGGTCTTACTCATGTTTGCAGGCTTCTGGTTGTGTTGCTAATAGGTAGGTGATGTGGTCGAAATTGGGGAGAGCACGTTAATAGAAGGGAAGGGGTTGATATATGTGACTCGTGAGGCAATGGTCTTGACTGAAACGTCAGTTCAAGTCAGTCGAGGAAGTACGGGTGGGATTGATTTTGGTTCAGGTAGAGAGAAAATGATCTACAGCGGATGGGGTAATGTGATCTTATATAGGAGCCACATGTCGAGGGCACCAAGGCTGGCGCCTGCTCCTCCCTTGATGTGAGTGTGAACGCATCGATCATTACGATACGATACGGAAGGGACGGGGTACAAAGCAGGGACGAAAACGCAAGTACCCCTCGTTCTTCCCTTGGCACCTTGGCTGGGTTCGGCGTTTTGTTCCCACTGCTCTTAGCCCCAAGCTCCACATGTGAAGAGGGAAAAGGGATGAATGACCCCACTGCTACCCTATCAGCCAATGGAAATTTAGAGAATTCCAGAGATGACACGATGCTAGACCAAAAGCGGATAGACGGCTACCTGCGATGCCATCATCAGCGGGTCCCATGGCCTCCGCTGGGTGTTACTCCGTACTCTTCCCAAAAGACGCCAAATCGTCCGGCAACAGGAACGACTGTCGGGCTTATTGGCTGGTTGGGTTTGAAACAAGCCGGCGTCGTGGCGCGAGATTTATTTACCGCATTCCGCCGCCTAGGTAGGGAGTGGATTGAAGGGTTTGTGGAGGAATCACCTCCACTTGCTACTCTCTGGCTCTGGCCGCTGGCGGGGGGGGGGCACGCACGTACGTAAGATGTTAGATGGCATCAGTGACGATCGTACTCCGTATGGATAGGTGCGAAGTAGGAATGATCATAAGACTACACTTAAAGAGTACGTAAGGCTCGCATTCCGAGCATCCAGGTGAGCACGATGTTTAGTTAAAGGTGCCCGGTCATCCTCCTCGTCGAAGAGACTCAGCCGCCTCGTTGGATTCCATGCTACAGGTACAAATACGACCATACCCTCGTATGATCCCTCTGAAGTGCGGTCTTCGGGGCGGCGGGTAAGGCTGCCGTTTTATTGAAATTGAGGTACCTTAGATACCTTAATCTACTGTACCTATCTGTTGTATTCTCCCGCACCCCACCGCCGCACCTGGCATCCGGGAGGAGTGGTTCTTTAACGGGGCTACTTCCCGACCACCTAGCCGATGGACGGCCGAGTCTTACGGCCGATCAGGACTGACGAGCCCGACCTGACAAAGGGGACTCGGATTGCGAGCTCAAGGTGACTTGGATTATCAGGTTCGTAGGATCACCTCAAAATATGTCGCGGAATGTGAGACCTACCTGCGCTTGGGTCGAGGGAGCATATCGTGGTCATCGCCGCCAGTCTCGGCAAATACGAGTACGATACCTGACGCACCACAGAGCCCAAGAGACCTACATTCAACTGTTATCTTTCAACGCCCCTTACGAGTTTTCTCATCTGGAAATGGATTCCGGGATTGGTTGAGGTGGAGAAATCTCTATTGCCTCTATTGACGCCCGCAACAAGGGCGACGAGACACCGAAGATGAGGTCGTCGTCTTGATGCACCTAATAAGCAAGTCCTCAATCAATCAATAAGAACAGCGAATGGTACTGGTATCCTTGATTCATTAGAAGAATGGCAGATGTGATTGGTCTGCCTCGCCTGCAAGATTCCCTCGTGAGGGTACAATGCCCGCGAGGCTCATCTACACGTGTACATATCTGTCGCCTAGCAGACAGGTTCCACTAAGCACAAGATTTTGATTCGCTTTGAACAGGCCTGTCCAGGCTTAATAGACCCTCCTTGAGGGGTTTATCGGGGGAGGGGTTACAGTATCCTTGTGGTTCAGGGATCGATCGCCACTAGCGGGGTAACGGACTCCAATGAGGATTCAACGATTGCGCCCGAAGAAACATCCGAGAACCGTGAATGATCCAGGTGAGTGAGGCTGAGTAACGAATTGGGCAACCCACTGCATCGTGCTTTTGTTGAGTGTGGTTATCGTTAGGGTTCGTCGCTCCGCCGCCCGTTTACATCGTCAAATGGTCGTCCTAGAAGCTCCGAATAGGCCGGACAGCCCCGGGCTCTCCGTCTTGTTCCGTATCTTCCCTCCCGTCGCCCCGACACTCATCAAAACGGCTTTGTTATCCGAACCATAGCCTGATGCCAATGCCAACCCAATATATTTTTCCTTGTTCTCAATAAATTTACCGACTTCCGTGATTCTTGGACATCCTGAGTTCTGTCTCCTTGGAATGTTTCTTGGCATACTTTTCTCTCTCCCTCCTTTTTTTCCTTTTTTTGTCGTTGTTTCCTCTCAATTTTCAGCCTCTTCTCGCCACCCTTCCTCATCATGGTCATCATCAGCCTGCATGCAGTACAGCCTACCTATGTCAAATCGACTGCTTCAGGGCATCAGTAAGTCGGGTCTCGTAGTCCCTGACTCATTTAACATAACGTTCGGGTTCCAAGATCCGTCTCTTTGTCCCTGTTTCGCGCACTACCTACCCTTCGACCAGACCAATCGTCAGGCGGTGCCTTGCAAATTCTACCCCTGACGTCCAACGCAACCAATCAGGGGTTCGTCGGTTACAGTGCGTTTTCCCTTCGCCCAATCTCCTCCGCACACATGCAGTAATTCCACCTCTTCGCGGACTTTCTTGGCCTCTTGGCGTTCGTCATTCCGGCCAAAGACTCGACACATAATTCCTTCGTACTTTCACTGCGCAGCGCCGAACAAACCTCCATCTGACGAAAGAAACATTATCCTCTGTTGGGGTTTTTAGGACGGACCCTTAAACAGATGCGTCACTCCAGTTCAAACGTCGAGATTCTGCGGCTCTCATTTCGTTACTCATTCCTACCTCTGTTAAGCTTCCCTCCCTCGTAACCTATCTACTCCGTGTGCATTCCGATGCAAACACCCCGCATCATGCCCCCCCCCGTCTGTCCTCCGTGTGTCATTTCTGCAATAGTTACGGATATAACAGAGCAGACTGCAGGAGTTCTGCAAATGACTGCAAACAGCAATGCAAGAATTTGAGGGGCCGAGATATTTTATTGCACGTCCACCAACCGACCTGATGCCTTTGATTTCGGATTTTAGAGAAATAGGCTCCTCCCTGTGGGAGGGTAGCCACCGACCTCAGTGATCGACACGGACTTTGATAGGCAGCGAAAAGCAGGTTTTTCTTCCACTGCCTAGGTAATGACTTCGTCGAACTGGAAGCCTTGAGTTGCCCTTCCTCAGCAATTTATGATCAATCAGACCCTCAGAACCCAAGTGGTGGCTGCTGTCCATTTGGCGATGTCCGCATCGCTGGGTGGGCGAAGTTGACTGACTACTGTGCTGGCAAAACAGGAATATAGATAGTTGCACTTCAACTTCTCCAACTGTTCCTGGATCCATTGCCACATATCAAAGGCTAACGCGACAACTCACGCGTTTCTGCTGCTCTAGAAACCCATGGCCCATCACATATGCCCGGTAGCACAAGAACCAGTACGCCTGCGGTCCAGCATTGTGGCTCCATACATCTATCTCCATGGACTTTGCTCTGTTCACTTTCCGAGCCACGGCAATCTCAATCATTGTCTTTCATTATTTCTCTCAGCCGATCGATCGATGAGCCGATGCACTGTGGTCTAGCCCTTCCATGTACACCTCAGGTACGTTATAAGTTACGCGGCCGACGATGGCTTCACGATCTGGACTCTCAGGAAGCGGGCCTTCGTCCGGCTCCTCGTTGCTCCTTGATGCTTTGTATGTTGGAGGGATGTACCATCCCTTTACCCAGAAGTTCTAGTCTCCTGTGAAGTCCATACCCATACACTAGAACTGAAAGAGTTGCTCTGAGTCCCACTCCCTATTGCGGCGGCGCGTACGAGTCGTAATTCGTACAGCGAGGCCTACACATACACGTACAACACATACACTAGATTACCCGATCCGGGCGGAATTGTAAGCAACCTGCAGGACATCGGGTTTCCTTGAGGGGGAAAGACCGCCAACGAGTCCATCAAGCTTTGTCAATCGTGGGTTCTCGTCGTCTCGAATATCGTTTTGTTTACCACTACAATTCCTGACCAGCTTCATTCTTTTCATTCTTCTTTCTCTTCATTGATAGCATAATGGAGGTACTGATCAAGACTGATCAAGGGGAAATGTGGAAGTGTTTCTGGTTTCTTAGTCGGCTCTATCAGTTCGTTGTTTGGGATTTATCGGTGGGGCCGACTTAACCCGATCCCAGATCGCTATCAATCCTATCAATCATTATCCGCTGCAAGAAGGGACTTTTCGGCTTTCCCTAACGGACGTTACCAGCAACGGGTAAATCACGGGCGGGCTTTTCGGAAGGGTCCAAGAATATAATACTCCTAGGCTGCATCTTGCCTATGTCAGGGGGTCTGCAGTTATGAGGCCGCCCATATGCCCAGCCGAGCAATGTGACATCCATTCCCTTTTCATTTCCGCTTTACAATGTGCAAACTGCGTCTCCCTTGATACACTTGGAACGAAGCCTCCGATGTCCCAGAATGCCCTGGCCCGAACGATATCTTTAACTATACATATGTGTCCTCAGTTTATATTCAATGGGCCCAGTCACTAATAAAGGACGACCGATAGGTACAGTCAGGTCAACAATAATTTCGAGTCGGTCCTAAAATTACCCCACCACCATATTCACTTCTACTATTCTTCAAGGTCCTATTCTTCAAGGTCCTCCACACGTCTTAATTCCTTAGTAAAATCAGTAGTATTTATATGCTCTAGGTACAAGGAAAGCTAGTCTTTCGAATGATAGAATTAGTGTTTGTGTGTTACGGCTGTGTAAAGATAGAGGGTTGTTGTAGGTGTAACGCGTTGGAACGCGTTGAGTGTGGAAATGTGGGATCTGACTCGAAATTAGTGTGGTGCCACTGTACGTGTAGTTCGTGGGAACGGTCCCGAAAAAAAAACATGCCTAATTCATTAGCAGTTGACGTTCAATTTGTCCCAGGGCAGCTTGCTCTACCATACATGAGTTCTAAAGTTCACCCCAGCATCCTCGCCACTATGCTGCCACCCATGCAGACATGTGACTACTTCGTAGAACAATGACCCCGCAGAACAATTTGGCCGTTGGGCCCCCCTGGGGTTCAGATGATTGTGCAGAAGACGGGGGACTGATTGACTGTACCTCCTTTTTAGCCCGATTAACCAACATACTTTTCAACTCAAACATTGTCTCCAGTTTACTTCGGTCCAGGGATAATGGTACGGAGTAGTAAGTCATGGAATACATAATTGGCGTTGCCTTGGGTCACGCCTCGGGCCGAAGAGGGGTCAGCGGGCCGGCCCAATCCACTCCGGGGGAGGACACTCAGTACGTTGTATATCCTGGATCACAACGGCCGCGTGTCCGTAAGGGAACCCATCTGAGGAGACCCATTGTGCTCGAGGGCATTCCTTGAGTGTGCAAGAGAGACGTACGTCCGAAGATGTAGGTACTTCGCACCATGCGTGACCAAGTACCCACCCCGGTGGCCTCCAAAAGTCAGCACATATGCATCTCCAGATCCTCCCAGAGGATAAGCAACAAGGCAAATACTGTATTCTGTCACCCCACCCCCCTATCCAAACTTGCTGAGTCGGTGGAAGCAGGGGGTCGTTCAAGTCAGTTTGCTAACACTTGCTCAGACGACCTTATACGCCACGCAATACGCTTCCAAAATCCCGTCCTCTATTCCGTAAGATGTGGTCAGTTGACCGGCAACATAACACTCATGAGCGTGATGGCCCGCCAGTATCTCACTGTCAAACCCCTAAACAAACCATCTGTATCATAAGGTACCTCGGATTAAGCTAGTAGATTCCACTGGTAAAGTCGACAACAACTGCCTTCTCGACCAAATCTCCGATGCTCTTAGCGAAGGCTTGATGGGCTGGATCATCCTTAACATAGTAGTCCCTATCGTCGGCGGAGGCAAACTCAACGACGAAGCCGTGGGTCATTCCATTCTGGCACCAGTTAAAAGCCAAGTCAAGCCGGCGGAAGTCGAACAAACAGCAAATCGATACCTGTACTCCCTCCGGCGAGTTGTCTTTGCCGCCTTTTAGGGATGTGATATACGGTGTATGGGCAGTCGGGTGGATACAATTCTGCCTCAAGGCGAGGAATCGAGCACAAGCCTGCGGAGCCGCAAAAGTCAATCCCTAGTACTCGGTAGCAAAGAGTTGCCAAGCATATTCTTGGAACTAGTTTGGTCGCGTTGGGCACGCACCGCCTTGACATCGTCAGGATTGGCCCCTGCCTTAAACTGGAAAAGCACTGTATGCGTAACAGACATGGCTGAGTGCGCGTGCGGCTAGGAGAGATCACGTTGAGATGTCAATACGTTAGAGACTGCTAACTCTGTGCACTGAAAACAAAACCCGTTTCCGTATTAGAAAACAAAATAAGAAGGCAGAAGAGAAGCCCACGATGTGGTTACACCGAGAGGGGTTGTTGTCAGGTCACATGATGAAGCTCGTGGGACACGCTGGATATTCAGAAGATTAGTCAGCTCCTGCTCATAAGCGCTAACGTTATGAACACAACCCTTGCTCAAGGCTGTTTCCCGCGATCGTCGACCCCAAAGATGGCGATAAACCAGAAGGTCCAGAACTGCAGGGTGTCACACCTGTCACGCAGGACATTCTTCATGGATTTCGGCCGAGCAGTTTTGAGCTCATTAGCCAGCAACTCCATCCTCTCAGATAGGACGGCAAAGTCACGCGTCGCGTAGTACGCGGATTTATCCCTAGGGATCCACCCACTGCCGTTGCCGCCCTGTCGGACGGAACCCAGTGGCGGCGGAGCCGAGTCGCTTTTCGGAGCAGAGGTACTGGAGCAGCGTGTCGGGTCGCGAGCATGCGCCATCACCCGGTTCGAAAACGGAGCGGAATAGCCGGCGCGATGCCGGCGACTGGCCGAACATCAGGCGGAACGAGAGGAGCACTTCTCCGAGAAGGTGGGCAATGTCGTCCTCGTTGGCGCCAGGGTCGACGGCGTGGCGTTTCGGTTCGGTGCTGCTGAAGGCAAACAGGGGGGGGGGGGGGGGGGGGGGAGAGGGGGGGGGGGGGGGGGGGCAGACATTGAAGGCCGGCTGGTACACCATGGACTCCCACCCTAGAATAGCGAAGATGGCAAGTCTCTTCGCGGCCAGAGATTCCTCGCTTTGGTCCTCAAAAATACCCTTTCTGTGGAGTTGCTCTATTAAGTCGTCCACATTGAACCCTCGGTTCTCGCACATGTATGCTGCGATGGTGTCATGGAGGGTGGTTTATGCCGCGTCTCTACGCATGGCGTCACCGCGAACTAACAGGGTCATCCGTAGTTCTCATCGTGGCCCGTCACTAGAGTTATTGACGTCTGTCGTCGGAACGCTGGTGGAAGCCACGATGAATAGCGCCGCAAATGAATTCCATTTGAAAGTAATATGCTTTGGTCTGTTTTCCATCAATGAACAACTCAAACATTCTGTAAGGGAAAGAGCGGAGATGCGAAGGTATGTGCCCCAGCACAGGGCGCAATTCACAACCGTACCTCTCGTTCTTTTACTTCTTCCAGCTCTTAATCGACCCGCCCGGCTCTTATAGGACCACTTCGTACTCTTTGCTGGCTTCGTCTCAACAAGCGCGGTCGGACCTTTCTTCATGCTAGGAGCAGAGGGGAAAACTGGCTCAGAAGAAAGAATGACTGCTCGAGGTGAGGCCACTCAGTCTGGATCGGCAACTAGAGAAAATGGATCAATGTCGCCTGTCCTAGTCCTGCGCACTCTGGCGTCGGGATCCGAGAGTGTAGCGGGCTGGTGTCCGACGAGCGACCTGACGAAACAGCCGGGTCACACAAATGATCCTCGGCCGCTCCGCTCCGCTCCGCCCCATTCGCATGGCTTTCCTCCCCTCAAAAGACTATGCAGCTCTTGGACCGGTCTGGATGATAACGACCAATTGGTCGAAGTCGGCTTTGGACATGTCTTCCTCTTCTCTCGTCGTCAAACCAGCTATGATATGTAACTTCCCTGACCGATCTTGACCGGAGTTTGGACACATGAAAACCCGGTAGCTGATCTTGGCAGGCAGCAAACAGACCAATGCCTGCTACGGCGAATTCGCCAAAAGAAACAATGGGGGAAGGGCCCTGGGACCGAAACATCCATCATTTGCACCGGAGAACATTTGAAACGTTCCTAATCCTGATGAGATTTCACTGCGGTTTGAAGGATGCATGTGTATTTCCGTTTCTGGCTCCAGGGCAAGAAAGCCTCGGCGCAGGAGCTCGCCTCACGCACCGTCTGAATTGCGGGGCGGCGTATACGGCGAAAAGAGCAGACCAAGAGTTGTGGATTTGCTCTTTGCCGTTGCTCGTATGCTCGAGAACAGCGGCGAGTTTGTTTTGGCAGCCAGGATGTTGTTGAGCGAAATCGTCCACATGAGCGGGGTGCTCCTGAAATGAGGACAAGAGGCAGAGGCAGAGGCGGTGTATATAAGAGTCAGAACACTGTGTATTTCCTGCAGGAGCATTCGAAAGGATTTGATCTCAGGGATCAACTTCTCACATGCCATCTTGCTTCACATCTCGTCCGCTTCGTTCGCTTCTGAATTGATTGGCGTGCCGTAAGGGTCACCCCCGCGACCCTAGTGAGCGAGAGAATTCTTCCAATTTTTGGTGCTATTTATTGGGAAAATAATCTGATGGGTTTGCCGAGTTAGAACCCAGCACTCTACCTTGTTGGTGCTTCTTGATGGCGACTAGGACAAAAATATGCACCAATGACCGCTCAGCAGGTCCCATATCTCAGTTGGTCAGGGCACCGTACCGATACAATCCCCATTGCATCGGTAACACGGGAGGGGTCGTTAGTTCGAGCCTCGCTAGGACCAGCTGTGACCCAAAAAGCCGGAGTGGCCCAGTGGTAAGGCGTCTGTCTCGTATCCCAGTGCGAACAGAAGATCCATGGTTCGATTCCGTGCTCTGGCAAGGGAAGCTTTCCGCCTCGTTGGCTCAGTGGTAAAGCGCCTCACTAGTAATGAGGAGATCACTGGTTCGATTCCAGTACGAGGCAATTTCTTTTTTTTTATACTTTTCATTTTTAGTCGTTTCATTTCTCGGTTGCTTCGCTACCAAATCTCGTACCCTAGCCGCCCAAAACCCCAATCTTTTGGCCCCCTCTTTAACAAGTACAGACCCGAGGTGAACATGCTTCGGGAAATCCTTCGGGACTTGAGGGATCCTGTTGATCTGAATACATAGCAATCATGTGCATTCAGACAGTTTCCTATTCTAGGTACTCTGGGAATGGTCGCGACTGCTACCGTCGCGGAAGACTCGTGGCGTCCCACCTGGTCAAGTTTCTTCTCCTGCAGCCCGCCATTACCATCGTGGATCTTCGGGCCTGCTGATTCGGGAGCCCATTTCTTAGTCTGGAGATGTCTCACGCAAAGGCGGTCCATGAAACGTGAACCCGGCCGGAGAAGGCGGATGGGCACAGGATGGCACCGGTCCGGAGGACGCCTACTATCGGCTTACTGTAGACGGGTGACTCGGTGCAGGCACTCGCTGCCCCGCCATGACCCCGCAATAACCCCCCGCCATGATCCCCGCCCTTATCGGGTCCGTATAAGGTACCTACAAAGTTCCACAAAGTAACGACCACCGGTAGCAACCTGGAAGCTATAGCGCCAGTTATTATTCCCATCTGGTGCGTGGTGTTTCGGCACTTCTGACAATGAACTAAACCATCAACGGCAATATGAACCAAATTACCTAAGAATCCCCTCCCCCTTACTCTTAGGACAAAAACTACCAGAAGGGCTGGCTCTTAAGGGTGGACAATCCTTTGAGAGGGTGAAACCAGTGACGTAAAAAAGGGCATCGTGAACATTGTTAGCGGACCAGCTGACCGTCTTGTCTTCGGTATCACGGATATGAATCTTACATTCAACTGTCTTCTATTCTAAACCTCTGCCTCTTTTCGTCCTGAAGCCTCGACGCTCCTATTGAAAAATCTTGGCAGGCTCCTGACTCCCGAGTACGAACCCCCTTCCCAACTTCATAAAAGGAGGAATATTCACAGCCCCTGACCCTTATCTCTCAGGGTTCTTCAAGTCCAAATCTTTCCCTTTTTTCGAATCTGCCATCACTCTGCATCCACAAACGAACCAGACGATCCATCAGCACAAATCCAGCAAGACAACCCTATCCGACAAACATCCACCATGGGCTCCAAGACAGAAGACACCGTCGCTGTCTCCTCCCTCGTCCTCACGAACCCCACCCCGGCAGAACGCGAAGCATGTTGGAAGTCCACTCACCCCCAATGGGGCGCCGCCCTCGACCTCGACGACTACCTCCACCGCGAGGCCTACCTGCAGACCGTCCCCATGGCCCGTAACGGCGGCATCACGAGCTGGATCCTCACCGACACGTCCTCCCCCGAGGACGCCCGCCCCGTTCTCTCTTCCTGCGAGTCCATCCGCAAGCGATGCCTCGTCGCCTCCCCCGACGGAACCATGCGCGAGGCCGTCGCCCACGGCGTCGCCTCCGTCTTCACCTCGCCTGAGCACCGTGGTCACGGCTACGCGAGCCGCATGATGGCTCTTCTAGGTTCCCAACTTGCCTCTTGGCAGGGTGTTCCCTATTCCCCTTCTTCCGCTCCAGGGAAGGGAGAACCTGCCCGTGACGCCGCGACTCCTACTACTACTACTACTACTACTACTACTACTACTACTCAACCGGAAGTCGCCTTCTCTGTTTTGTACTCCGACATCGGCAAATCTTTTTACGCAAAGAACGGCTGGCTACCCTACGACTCCACCCACCTCGCCTTCTCTCCCTCCTCCTCCTCCTCCTCCGGGTCTACATCCCCCGCGTCTCCCATCTTATACCACCACCTCGCCGAACTCACCTCGATAGACGAGTCCCTCCTCCGCCAACGCCTCGCCCGCCCCTCACCACCAGGAACCGGGACCAAAACCCGCGTAGCCCTCCTCCCGGACCTGGACGCCATACTCTGGCACATGATGCGCGAGGACTACATGACGACCCGCATCTTCGGCTCCCCGCCCACCGTCCGCGGCGCCATCCACGGCCCGCCGGGACGCAGGGTCTGGGCGATCTGGACGCGGGGCTACTACGGCGGCTTGCGCAGTCCGGAGGGCAACACGCTGCACATCCTCCGCCTGGTGCTGGAGGACGAGGAGGGGGAGTCCGAGCTCGTGCAAGGGCTGCGTGCCATCCTGAGCGTCGCGAGGGAGGAGGCCGCCCGGTGGAAGGTCAACGATGTGCAGCTTTGGAACCCCTCGCATCGGCTCCGGCGGATGGTGGAACGGACCGGATTGCCTCACGACTTTGTCGAGAGAGAAAAGGATAGCATTGCGAGTTTGAGATGGTACGGCCAGGGCGAGGTGGACTGGGTGCTCAATGAGAAGTATGCTTGGTGTTAGAGAATCGACGTGTCTTTTGCGTTTTCTCTTCTTTATTTGTCTGTTGGGTGGAGGATACATAAGAATGATTGTTTTCGTCGCAGGGAACAGCCCAAGGCTTTCCAAGACCTCGGGATACGGGCAAGGCCAGAAGAATCTAGATGTATGCTGTGGACTCTGCATGCATGGATCGTAGACATTCGGCATTGGGCGTGTCGGAAACAAATTCGCCGAATGGATTAGTTAGGTTACACCTAGATCCTGTGCATATATTGAAGTATCATTCAGTGCGAAGGGTGGTGGTTCTCATGGTCGTGGTCTATCGGTCAGCTCTTCGTGTCTTTTTTCTTCTTCCTTACAACGCCTAGACGTCATTACCAATCACCCTGTATGCTGGGACTTTCCCCCTTATATTCCCTCACCCCGTTTGCTGTAGTTTCTT